GAAGGGGATGGAAAGAAGTATTCCAAGTCATGAAATCCAAAGACCTACATCCAAGATTACTCTATCCAGCAAAGCTTTCATTTAGAATGGAAGGGTAGATAAAGTGCTTCTTAGATAAGGTCAAGTTGAAGGAGATCATCATAACCCAGCCTTTATTACATGAAATGTTAAAAGGACTTATCTAAAAAAGATCAAAAGTATGAACAGTAAAATGACAACAAACTCACAACTAGTAACAACCTAACCTAGAAAAAACACAAAAAACCCAAAAAGGGGTTTCAGGAACATGTATGAAGAACACATGGGCAAAATCAAAGGGGAATAGGATCCAGTGTGGGAAGTGGGGATGGCTAGGGTTGGGAGGAGAGCGGTGGGGAAATGGAGATAACTATACTTGAACAACAATAAAATAACTAAGCAAACAACTTGAACAGGAACAGAGTCACAGAAATAGAGATCACATGGAGGCTTATCAGTAGGGAAGGGGGAGGAGGAGAGAGGGAGAAAATGTGCAGAGAATAAGTAGCATAAATGGTAGGTAGAAAATAGACAAGGGGAGGTTAAGAATAGTATAGTATATAAAACATAGAAGCCAAAGAACTTATATGTACAACCCATGGACATGAACTAAAGTGGGAGGAATGTGGGTGGGAGGGGGGTGCATGGTAGAGGGTAATAGTGGGGAGAAAATGGGACAACTGTAATAGCATAATCAATAAAATATATTAAAATAATTAAAAAAGAAATAAACAAAAGGCATAGGGTGGCTGAATGTATAAAAAACAAAGGCCCACATTTATGGTATGTACATGAGACTTCTCAGGATGAAAGAGAGACACGGACTGAAAGTAAAGGGATAGAAAAAGATATTTAATGCAAATGGAAATAAAAATAAATTATGGGTAGCAATACTTATATCAGATGAAACAGACTTTAAAACAAAGCCTATGGTAAAAGACAAAGAAGAACACTACATAATGATAAAGGGAACAATCCAAGAGGATACAAGCCTTGTAAATATTTATGCACCCAACATAAGAGCACCTAAATATATAAAGCAAATCTTTAAAAATTTTATTTTAAAGATAATCTAATGTTAAAGCAAACCTTAAATTACATAAAGGGAGAGACTGGCAATAATACAGCCATAGTAAAGGATTTTTAATACCCCATCAATGTTGATAGATAGATTTTCCATACAGGAAATTAATGAGGAAAGAGCAGGCTTGAATGACACACCAGACCAGATGGATTTAATTGATATTTTCAGATCACTTCACTCCCTAGCTGCAGAGTATACGAGTTCTGTCCAGCAAGTCCAGCCATTATTAATATAATGACAACAGCTTCCATGATGTCGATGTAACCCAGCAGCCAAGGAGAGTGGACTGGAATGTGCATGTGTGAACAATGACGACTTCACTATACTGGTCAATGGGGGCAGTAGACACTGTTGAGTTAGTATGTGTACTGTGTGGTCGTTGTATTCAAAATGACTCAGTAAGTAGAGCAACAGATCTACATCAAATTTCTCATGAAGCTTGAACATTCCTCTGTGGAAACTATTCAGATGATTCAGAAGGCTGCAGCTGTGGGCAACTGGTGACTGGCAATTTCATCTCAACAACACGCCATTCATGTCTCATGTCTTGCACAGAGTTTTTTTTTTTAAGATGTTATGTATTTATTTTCAGAGCGAAGGAGAGGAAAAGAGAGAGAAAGAGAAGAAAGAAGAAAGAAAGAAAGAAAGAAAGAAAGAAAGAAAGAAAGAAAGAAAGAAAGAAAGAAAGAAAGAAAGAAAGAAAGAAGAAAGAAAGAAGAGAAAGAAAGAAACATCGATGTGTGAGAGACACACTGATCAGTTGCCTCTTGCATGCCCCAACTGGGGACGTGGCCTGCGACCCAGGCATGTGCCCTGACCAGGAATAAAACTGGCGACCCTTCCATTAGCAGGCTGGCACTGAATCCACTGAGCCACACTTGCCAGGACTCATGCAGGCTTTTTTAATGTTAAAAAAATTAAAAATGGTTTTTATTTACTTAGTTTTTTAGAGATAGGGGAAGGGAGGGAGAAAAAGGAAACAGTGTGTGAGAGATAAGTTGATCAGTTACCTCTCACATGCCCCAAAGACGGAATCAAAGCGGTGACCTTTCAGATTTCAGGCTGGCACTCAATCCACTAAGCCACACCAGCCAGGGCCCCTGCAGAGCTTTTTTTTGGGCAAAACATCAAATCACCCAGGTGACTCAGCCCCCCTACATTCCTTATTTGGTGCCCCGTGACTTCTGGCTTTTCCCCAAACTACAATCACCTTTGAAAGGGAAGAGATTTCAGGCCTTTAATGAGATTCAGTAAAATACGACAGGGCAGCTGATGGCGACTGGGAGAACTGTGTGAGGTCTCAAAGTGCCTACTATGAAGAGGACTGAGGTGTCATTGTCCTCTGTACATTGTTTCTTGTATCTTGTTTCAGTAAGTGTCCCTATTTTTCCGTTATATGGCTGGATACCTTCTGGACAGAACTTGCGTGTGTGTGTGTGTGTGTGTGTGTGTACACATACATGTATTTCCTAGTTCTGTCCACTGAGAGGACCTAGAAATAATGGCACTCTTGTAACAATGAGCATACCTAGCACTCAGACCTTGGGCACTACCTACCATTTTCCATTAAAAGGATCCCAGTGCTGGGGCAGGGGAAATACATTTTTTTTTAAGATTGTATTTATTTATTTTTAGAGAGAGGGGAAGGGAGGGAGAAAGAGATGGAGAGAAACGTCACTGTGTGGTTGCCTCTTGAGTGCCCCGACTGGGGACCTGGCCCATTACCCAGGCATGTGCTCTGACTGGGAACTGAACCAGCAACCCTGTGGTTTGCAGGCCGGCACTCAATCCACTGAGCCACACCAGCCAGGGCGGAAAATACATCTTATTGTGTCACAAAGGAAGAGTTCAAAGAATGAGGGGGGCATGTCTAAAGGACGTAGGAGCCAGCTTTGAGAAATAAAATAACGGTAATAGTGGATAACTCATTGAATAAAATAGAAATCCATGAGTCTGTACTGAAATATTTTAAAAACAAATAATTAAGTGGGAGAGTAGAAATTGCTGTAGCTAACATGCCAACTAATAAATAAAAAGGGAATGATGGAAATTTGAATGTCCACATTTAGCAACCCATCACAGTAAAAATTAATTCAGGCAAGAATCATCAATGAATGCTAAAATTAGTGAGTGCAAGTTTAATAAGAAACAGAATATTTGGTCTCAAATATGTTCCAGAAAGTAGTTCATATTTACTTATCAATTGCTAGATACGTGACAGACACCATGTTACCTTTAATCATTGGTAGAACACATTGGCCTCATGTGTTTGTTGGTATGTTGCACTGAGAATATATCACTTCTGTGGTATGCTTACCCAAAATGCATCAACTCAATCTAATCGTTAGGGAACATCGGACACATCCAAGTTGAGGTTCATGATATAAAGTGGAGGTTCATGCTACAAAGTGGTTCATTTGCCTGTGCTCTTCAAAAATCTCAAGGTCATGTAGGATAAGGAAAGACTGAGGAACTGTTTTGTTTTGCAGCACATGAGACATGACAACTAAAAACAACTTAGGAAGGTCTTCATTAGGACAATCAATGAAATTTGAATGAGGTCTGTGGGTGAGTGGTATACCTGTATTGTTTATTTTCTAATTTTGATGGTTGCACTGTGGTCACAGAGAAGACTACCCCTGTTTTTTGGAAATAAACACTGAGGTATTTAAGGGTAATGGGGCAAAATGACTCCATTGGTTCTGAAAGAAACACACAAAGAGAGAATGATAAAATGTTAACGATGGAAGCTAAGAGAAGGATGTATGGCAATTTTTGGTGCTTACTTGCAACTTCTCTATAAATGTGAAAGTATTTCAAAAATCAAAAATTTGAAAATGTTAATACAAGTTGACTAGTGGGGGGGAAGCCAATGTGATCTCACAGTACACTAGTGCAAATCTAGCCAGAGTGAGGCCCTGAACTGTGTGTGGGTCAAACCTCACTGGAACATGGGATTTGGCTCTTGGATGATGTAACCACATCATACAAGAAACAGCTGAAGGGTCCAACTTCTGTCTTCAGTTCTCCAAAGGGCATCTGGGACAGGGAAGCAGACTTGGTAGAGGGAGACAAATTTCTGTTCAGTATGAGGAAGGGCTTTTTGCCAGTGAGACAGGTAATAAGGTGGATTGAGCAATGTCGGGAGTTCCCTGTCATAGGACATGTTCTAACAGAGACTGGACAATCAATCCTCAAGAGTGTCATGAAGACATTTCATGAATCCAGTCAATGCTGGGCCCAGGAACCACTAAGGGCTTTCCAATGAAAGAGTGTGGTTCTCTGTTGTCTTCATGTATTGGGAATTGAGCACTTCTGGGATAAAATGCAACCTGTGTTGGACTGGGATGAACATTCTTTTTTGTTCACATGGGGCAAGAGTCTTCTAACTTTTTAAAAATTATGTTGCTTATTTATTTTCAGGGAGAGTGGAAGGGAGGGAGAAAGACAGGAAGAGAAATATCAAATCAGTCAGTTGCCTCCCACATGCTCCCAACTGGGGACCTGGCCCACAACCCAGGCATGGGTTGCCCTGACTGGGAATCGAACCAGCGACCTTTTGGTTCACAGGACGGCACTCAATCCACTGAACCACACCAGCCAGCTGAGAGCCCCCTAACTCTTGCAGTTCTATGGAACTACTGAGAGGACCAATGTGCAAGATCCTTTCCTAGACAATCATCTTGCTTCCACATGGGCTACTTCCATATATAAATCTTAGCACTTTGGAAAATGAGCTGGTCACAACAGTAAGTTATTTTCTGATGCTTTTATTCTAGAACATGCAATTTAACTACATGAAAATGGGGCCTGAGAAAACAGATACAAAAACTGAAAAGTTTAACTATAATTGAAACATTGAACATCTCAGGCCATGCTCCTCCTCTTCCAGCAGTCTTCAGTTCTTCTTCATGAAATAGTGAGACCTTTTCTTTTTATCCAGTGCTTGGGCCAGCTCACCATACAGAACATGAATCTGGGAAAGAGATTAGCAAATAGATTTCTTCAGGGGAAAGGATATGTGGGAAAGCCTCCCCAACCCATGGTGATGGCACAGGAGTCTAACCTACACTCAAACCACACTGGGGCAAAAATACAGTACTCACTTGGGGAAGGGGGGGCCCATCACACTAGGTCCATTTTTTAGGGACAGGCAGCTATCACATGGGATAAGGTACTTAAAGCATAAATGATTCTTTTTTTAAAAGATTTTATTTATTTATTTTTAGAGAAAGGGGAAGGGAGGAAGAAAGGGAGAGAAACGTCACTGTGTGGTTGCCTCTTGGGTGCCCCTGACTTGGGGGTCTGGCCCACAACCCAGGCATGTGCCCTGACTGGGAATGAAACCAGTGACCCTTTGGTTGGCAGGCCAGTGCTCAATCCATTGAGCTATACCAGTCAGGGTGCATAAATGATCCTTTGCTCCTACTTAGCAACAAGTCTTTTTCTCCACCAAGCCTCTCCTGGTTAGCTTAATGGCCCAGAAGCCTACAACTCAGAAGAGCTCCTGGAGAAAATGCCTTTTCGGACAGTCACAGAGGCCAGCACTTCCCTGCATGCACTTGGCACGGAGAGGGATACATCTTTCCAGCACTCACTCTGGGTATTCGTCTTAATTAGACTCCATCCACTGTCCCTAAGTTTCTGACAATTCTTCATCCTTCCTGGTTTTCACTCTGAGAAATTACTGGCTACAGTCCCCTAAGCTAAGTTCCCCATGGAACCACTGACAGGAACAAACATCAAAATCCTTTTCCAGCCCAGGAAGGTAGCACCAAGGCCTTACTGAGAGGCCAGAGAGAAGCTCTCTGCCCTGGGTCATGCTGCCCCCCTTCTAGCCCTCTCCTTCCTTACTTGAGTTTCATAGATTCTCTTGAGGGAGCCAAGGTGGTCAACAAAACGCAGTGACAGGCCACACCACTTTTCGGCAGACAGATACTTTTCATGGGTGTACATGAATATTCCAGTATTCCAAGATATGATCATCAGCCAGAGAACTTCCATTTCCGGGTAGCCTTCCTGAAATGCAAGAAAAGTGTCTTTACTGTCACCATCAGGGACTGTATGGGTGCTGCATCCCACTGTTGGGAAATAATGGGTGCTCTGCTAACACCAAAGAGGGAGGCATAGCCTCCACAAGCAATCCTGTGCTCCTGGAGTGCAGGAGAAGAGCACTTAGGAGCTTTGTCAGCTGTACAATGGTCTGGGTCAGGCCTCATGAAGCAACATAAACTAAAGATGCAATGAGGCCTTCCTGGACTGACCTGCTCTCCCTGAGCAGGAGAAAAACCTGTGTCCCGCTTGGGGCTTCCCTTGGCGCTGTCCTCGGTCAATGATCTCCCCAGTACCTTACCTCTGATTTTCAAAGAAGGCTGTCAAGAGGTATTTTTATTGAATCTCTTAATTTCCTTGACCTGAATCCGTCTGTGTTTGGAATAGGAATTGCATGAATCTTTATTTTTACTTATTTTAGAGAGAGGGAAGCAGAGGGAGACACAACGGAAGAGAAATATTCACGTGCTGAGCCATTATAGGGGGAAAAAAAGAAAAAATATTCATGTGCAAGAGAAACATTAATAGGTTGCTCTCCTACACGCCCAATGGACCCACAGCCCAGGCATGTGCCCTAACCAGGAATTAAACCTGTGACCTTTTGCTTTGCAGGATGACAACCAACCCACTGAGCCATGCTGGTCAGATTTTAATATTTATTTTTTTAACAGAGAGAGAGAGAGACAGAGAGAGAGACAGAGAGATTTATTTTAAGGAATTGGTTCACACAATTGTGGGGACTGGCAAGTTTGAAATTTGTAGGGTAGGCCAACAGGCTGGAAATTTAGGCAGGATTTGTTTGTTACAATCTTTAAAAAAAAATAAGTTATTTATTTGAGGGGAAGGGAGGGAGAAAGAAAGAGAAAAACACAGATGGGCTGCCTCTTGTATGTGGCCCAAGCAAGGACCAAACCCACAACCCAAGCTTGCACCATGACTGAGCGACCCTTCACCTTGCAGAATGATGCCCAACCAATTGAGCCACACTGACTGGAGCTCTACATTACCGTCTTGAGGCAGATTTCCTTCTCCAGGAAACTCAGTTCTTGCCATAACCAAGGCAAAAATTGGTTATGGAGGGTAATCTGCTTTGCTAATATCAACTGACTGTAATTTTTAAAAAGATTTTATTTATTGATTTTAGACAGAGAGGAAGGGATAAAAGAGAAACATCGATGCGTGGTTGTGTCTTGTGTGCCCCCTACCAGGAACCTGGACTGCAACCCAGGCATGTGTCCTAGACTGGGAATCGAACTGGCAGTCCTTTGGGTCACAGGCTGGTACTCAATCCACTGACTCAAACCAGCCAGGGCTGATTGTAAATTTTAATAAATATTAATATTTGGTGTTGATAAAATCTATCTGACTATGAAAAAAGGGTACATTTCTAATATGGTCCCTTTGCCTTACGTCTTTAATATGGCTGGTGAAAAGATTTTGCACTAGTGAAAAGGATTAGTCTAGGGAGCAACTTTCTCAGTTCTTGCATAGGAGATAGACACAAAGGGAACATCCATGTGCCCATTCCATGTTAAGGCCTTCATCTACACTCTGGGTCTCAGGTCCCTGAAAGGGGAAATGCGACAGGTGACTTGGCATCTTGGCTGTAATTCACTCATTGGGATGTATTAAAAATTCCTATGCAGAAAACACTATGAGAATGAGGGGGCTGAGAGGGACAAGACAAAGCTTTTATCCTAAAGGACACAAAGTACCTTTGGGGAGGGTGACAAGATATCCACGGGTGATGAGGACTACAACGCGGTGTGTGACTAAGAGCTAGTCAGAGCAACACAGGCATTAGGTGTTCCCGTTCAGTAAAAGAAATGAGCATTAGGTCAGCACGGTCAGAAGAGGTCTAGTTTCTCTACTTAAAATGCCACCCCCATACCTATCCACTTGGTAAACCTCTATTTTTTCTTCGAACTTACAAGCAGAGTTAATTACTTTTGTCTGTTCCCATAGCAAGTATTACATTCTTCTAACACAACTTAGCAAGTTTGTTTTTTATCCTAATCAGAGGCCGTGCTTTACTGATTTTAGAGACAGGAGAAGGGAGGCAGAGAGGAAGAGAAGCATCAATTGTGAGGGAGAAAAATTGATCAATTGCCTCTCCTACGTGCTGCAACCAGGGTAGGAACCCACAACTGAGGTATGTGCCCCGACCGGAAATCCAACCCGCAGCCTTTTGGTGTACAGGATGACACTCCAATTGGTCACACCGGCCAAAGCACAACTTATCAGGTTGTTTTGAAACTGTTTATACATCTATCTCCTGCAGACTGTTGATCTCCTTGAGGCACAGAAATTTTGCATGTTCATCTTTGTATCCACAGAACCTAATACTGTTCCTGGCACATGACGGGGGCACAGTAGTTGTTTGCTGAATGCATGAATCAACGAATGAACAAATGAAACGATAGCTAGTCAAATGCAACCTACTCTGTGAGGCTTTCCCTGTCTGCAATGTATCATTCCCACCACTTCATTCCTCTGGCACTTTGTTCACAGCACTACAGTACAACGGCGCTTATAACATTGTGCAGTCTGTCTCCTCCACTAGGCTGGGAGTTTCCTTCACGGCACAGTGTTATCTACCTTTCTATACTCACAGGCCGGCACAGCGTCCAACAGTGAGATTTTAACAGAATGAACAAATGACTGAACACACAAACATGGTCTTTGGGTAAATAAGATCTAGATATACAGAGGTTGTAGGAAATGTCCAGAATAGGCAAACAGATAGAGATAGAAAGCAGATTGGTGGTTGCCAGGGGTTGGGAGAGGGAGTAATGGAGAATCACTACTAATGGTTATGGGCTTTCTTTTTGGGCTGATGTAAATGTTCTGGAATTAGATACTGGTGATAGTTGCACAATTTTGTGAATGTACTGAATGGACTTGTATACTTTAAAATGGTAAATTTTATGGTATATGAATTCTGTCAATAAAAATTACAAATATATAGACATACAGAGCAAGAGAAGGGCATTCCATACAGGCACAACAGAATAAATTAAAACTTGGATTGTGCCTGAGACTGAGCATATCTCAGGGAGACTAATAGTTATTTGGCCTAAGCAGACAATTTATGTAGGGCAGTTCATTGGAAATAGGACTAGAAATGTAAGAGGGGGTGACCTCAGCATTTCCTAAATGCTTTTTCTCACAACATGAGCGTTACGTAAAATGCTAACAGATGGTCATAAAATTAGGGTTCTTGAGTTAAATTATGTTTTAGAAATATTGCATTCTGTATATACCCCTTTGGAGCACTGTAATGCATATTAGTTCATGAAGTTTTGGGAAATATTACAGCAAAGAAACTGTATAACTTTGTTTAATCCAGGGTACTGACATTTTGTATAATACAATTTGTGAAATACTGGGCAGGAATATAAAGGGTTTTGTATTATAAGTCACAGATCTTGGAATTTCTTCCGCTGGTAATGAGAAGTCACTAAAACTTTATGAGAAGGTAAGTGATACGATAAAATTGAAGCTTTAATGAGATTGAAATGCCAGTGGTGTTTAGAATACACCCAGGTGAGAGAAAACACAGGCAGCAAGATCTGTTTAAATGTTATAAGTCTAAAGATGAAGTGATGAGGGTCAGAGCGAAAACAGTGACTATGGAAAGTGAAACATGAAAGAAACAAGACAACCTGGTAACTTACTGGATATGAAGAATGTAAGCTAGGTCAACGACAAACACCATATAATCTCACTTATATGTGGAGTCTCATGAACAACATAAACTGACAAATAGAAACAGGCATGGACACATGGAACAGACTGACAGCTGTCAGAGGGGAGGGGATGGGGGACTGGATGAAAGAAGGGGAAGGGATCAGCCAAAGAACATACATTCATGACCCATAGACACAGACAACAGTGTGGGGATGGCCAGAGGGAGGGGGTGGGGGGCTGGACAAAGGGGAGGGACGGAGACATCTGTAATAGCATGAACCATGAAACAATAAAAGAGAAAATGGCTTTAAAGTACATAGTTTGAATGGCTGCGAGAATGCTCATACTGGTGAAGAAGAAACTGGAAAGCAATGCTTCTAGGGATTAGGCTTTTCTTAGGGTTCCTGAAGTGAATATTGTGTACATCAGCTTTACTGAGATATAATCCACACACCACACACTTTACCTAGTTAAAGTGTACAATTCAGTGTTTTTTTGTATATTCACACGGTCCTGCAACCATCACCACAATCAGTTTTAGAACATTAACATCCCCCTGAAAGGAAGCCCTGGGACCATTAGCAGTCACTCTTTATTTCTCCCAGAAATAAAGAATGCAAAATCTGAGATAACTAATACACTGGAAGGAATAAACAGAAGGCTACATGAAGCAGAGGATTGAATCAGTGTTTTGGAAGACAAGGTAGGAAAAAAAATCAGGCAGAGCAGCAAAAAGAAAAAAGAATTTTAAAAAAATGAGGAGAGCTTAAGAAACATCCTGGACAACATGAAGTGTAACAACCTCCATATTATGGGAATACCAGGAGGAGAAGAGAGAGAGCAAGGGATCAAGATCATCCATCCTAAGTGAGTGGATAAAACAACTATGGGACATTCACACATTGGAATTCTACTCTGCTGTAAAAAAGAAGAAAATTTTACCCTTTGCAACAGTATGCATGGAGCTGGAGAACATTGTGCTAAGTGAAACAAGCCAGTCAGAGAAAGAGAAATACCATAGGATCTCACTCTTATGTGGAATCTAACGAACAAACTGAACTAACAAGTGAAACTGAGACAGACTCATAGATAGAGAGCAGATGACAGCTATTTGGTGGGGAGAGGGAAGAGGGTGGAGGGACTGAACAAGAAAGAAAAAGGACTCATGGACATGGACAACAGGGTAGTGGTTGCTAGGAGGAGAGTATTATAAGGGGACAAATGGCAATGGAAAAATATAATAACAATTATATATTAAAAAGTATAAATGACCCATGGACATGGAAAACAGGGTGGGGAATGACTGTGGGAGTGGAGGCTGGGTGGGGCAGGGAAGAACAATGGGGAGAAATTGGGACAAATCTAATAGAACAACAATAAAAAATTTTAAAATAAAAATACAAAATAACCCAAAATGTTAGGTAGTACTGCCATTTTGACCTAATCCATAGTATACTTATACGTATTAGAAAATTTTTACTATCAACTAATTACATTTCATAAACCCAGGAAAATTTGGTAGTGTATGATTTATTTACCTTAAAATTCATATGAGAAAGCATTATTCTATATAACTTCTTTTTTAAGTACATTTTAAGTACATTATGTTATTACAGTTGTCCCAAATTTTCACCCTATACTCCCCTATGCCTGGTACTTCTCCTCCATCTGGCATTTCCTCCCCCACTGGGTTCATGTCCATGGTAGGCATATAAGTTTTTTGGCCTCTCCATTTTCTATACTATTCTTAATGTCCCCCTGTCTATTCCATACCTACCAATTATGCTTTTTAGTCCCTGCACCTTTTCCCCCATTCTCCCTCTCCCTCCTCCCAGCTGATAACCCTCCAAATGATCACCATACCTATGATTCTGCTCCTGTTCTGGTCTTTTGCTTATTTTTTAAAATTTAGTTGTTGACAGTTGTGAATATTTTGCCTTTTTAACTTTCATAGTTTTGATCTTCTTTTTTGTAAGTCCCCTTAATATTTCATGTAATAATGTCTTGGTGGTGATGAACTCCTTTAGTTTTACCTTGTCTAGGAAGCACTTATCTGCCCTTTCATTCTAAATGAAAGCTTTGTTGGATAGAGTAATCTAGGTTTTATGTTCTTGTTTTTCCATCACTTTGAATACTTCTTTCTAACCCCTTCTTGCCTGCGAAGTTTCTTTTGAGAAATCACCTGATAGTCTTATGGGAACTCCTTTGTAGCTAACTCTCTGTTTTTCTCTTGCTGCTTTTGAGATTCTCTATCTTTAACCTTTGGCATTTTAATTATGATGTGTCTTCGTGTGTTCCTCTTTGCATCCAACTTGTTTGGGACTCTCTGTGCTTCCTGAACTTGTACATCTACTACCTTTGCAGGTTGGGGAAGTTTTATTTCGTTATTTTTTTCAAGTAAGTGTCCAATTTCTTGCTCTTCCTCTTCTCCTTATGGCATCCCTATGATTTGATGTTGGCATGTTTGAGATGTCCCTGAGTTGTCTTCTACTATCCTTGTTTTTTTTAAAACTCTTATTTCTTCTTTCTGTTCTGATTTAATGTTTATTTCTTCCTTATGTTCCAAATTGTTTATTTGAATCCTGGCTTCCTTCTCTTTACTGTTGGTTCTCTGTAGATTTTTCTTTATTTTACTTAGTGTAACCTTCATTTCTTCCTTTATTTTATTGCTGTATTCAGTGAGTTCTTTTGAGTATTCTGATCACCAGTGTTTTGAACTCTGCACCTGATAGGTTAGCTATTTCTGTTTCATTTAGTTCTTCTGGGGGTATTGTTCTATTCTTTCATTTTGGCCATATTTGCCTCCTCAATTTGGTGAGACTTCTCTGTATTAGGCAGAGCTGCTTTGACTCCCTGTCTTAGTAGTGTGGCCTAGTGTAGAAAAGGCATCTGAAAATTATCTGGGGTGGAACCTTAGGTAATCTCCAGGGTGGGGCAACCTGCTTCAATGCTTTGTGGCTTTGTGTGTGGGGAGGGTTCGAAAAGGAGACTGTGACCCTGCCTGGCTTCTGAAGGTTTGCCTGGCACTTGCCCTTGTTTCCAGTCACTCATCCACTCCCTGTATGGCACTGATGCTTTTCCAGCTGTTGCCCTGGTGTTGAATCCCAGAGTGGGTGGGGTTTTGTCTGTTTTAAGACCATGTGGGCCCTTTCAATGGTTTCCTGAAAATCCAGCAGTTTCTTCCACCACTCCAACCCCCACTGGTTTTCACAGCCAGAAGTTATAGGGATTTATCTCCCTGGGCCGTGTGGTCTGGCCTGGGGCTGGGATCGCTTGCTCCCAAGGCATCCCTCCTGATTTTTATCTGCCACATGTGGATGTGGGACCACCCATGCCCGTTTTACCACCACAGCCACCTCTCTGTGCCACACCCCGTCCCCTCGCCTCTCCACCTGTCTCCATGTCTCTGCCCTTGCTATCCATCTGTGATGTTTGTGGATTCCTTAAATCTTTCATTGTTGGACTTCTATACAGTTAGGTTTTCTAACAGCTCTGGGTGTTATCTGTTATGAGATTTAGTTGTAATTCTTTTTGTGGATGTGCAAGAAGGCGAAGAGCACCTATTTATGCCTCCATCTTGACCCTGTAGCCTTTTCATAATTTCTAATCTATAATACAGTTCATATCCTTAAAATTAGCAGAAAGTGTAATCTCACTGCTGGACTTACGGTGTAGCTAAGAAAGCTCAAAGTGTCATCAAAAAAGCTCCAAAGTTCTTCAATGGGACAGATTTCTTCCTTTGGCACCCCTTCTGGCACCAGCAGGTTAACCAACTTGCGCATGCAGTTGCTGAAATCAAAGAGAAAAAATGTATCCCATAAGGAAATAAATCATGGCTAAGGAAGGGCTAACCAATAAATCATGGTTCCATGGCTAAGGTAAGTAAAATCTGGATCCCATCCCAGACTAAGAGCTTCAAAACAGGTCTGATCTTTACCCAATTTGATCTGGCCCCCAACCTCAGAAGATAGATTTTTGAAGCTGTAAAAGGGGATGACCAACCCTTCCTTTCATTATGGTAGTCCTTCACTTTTTTTTGGAGTTTGCTACACTGTGGAGTTATGGCTGTTTACTATATTTTATGAGTTGGTTGAATCTATATGCACTTTATAGTATCTTGTGACATTTTCAAACAGGCAAGCGCACTGGGATTGAAATTGGAAATAATTCCAGGAGAACTGTCTCTCAAATCTCAGAAGAGGAAGACTTGAATGATATTTTCCAGAGAAAAATCACATAAAGTCTATTCTTACACATTCCTAAGCATAGAAAACACAAAATCTCCAATAAATAATAGGTCATATTATGCATAGCATTTACTGGCCCTTAAAAAAAAGTGCTTTAGAAATTCTGTGGCAAATATAGCAAAATGTTAGTTAACATTTGTTAAACTTTGGTGGGGGATGCATTGTTGTCTGTTATATTAATCTCTGCCTGCATTCGGCATATTTTAAGTAATTTTAGTATATACATACTCACACAAAGAAGCAACTTTCTATCTCTTTTCCTCCTTTGGGAAAACCAGACTCCTTGCCTTGGCTAATTAAGTCTTAGTCCATAACACAACCCTGAATGTGGAGCTGTTCTGAAGGCTTTTCAGTTCAGGAGTTACAGGAGCGCCCCAGTCATTTTTTTTAAACAGGCCAGTGGAGTATGATCGATGATTACTGTTCATTTGGCTATCAGAAGGCCTGCATACAGTGCTGAATTATAATTACTAACCTGTATCTCATAACATCCAGTGTTTCCTTCTTTCTGTATATCCATAAAGCCCGCTTTAAGGCATTTACAGCAATGGAAGGATAGTAGGCAGGCGTTTCCAATGCTAAAGCTACAGGAAGGGAAGAAAGAAGGTTATGAATATAGTAATCCCATCCATTATAGTTTCCGTCCCAGGCTACAACTTCCTTTGTCTAACAGAGAAATTAACACACACACACACACACACACACACACACACACACACACATCTTATAAAATGATGAGTCCATGGTGACTTTCAGAAATAGCTTCTACTTTCTAGACAGAGTAACACAGTAGGATGACCAGGTTATATCTTTCATTCAGCAAATATCACCAGAAAATCTATTGTTTCTCTGACCCTGCCCATAGTAATATAGGTGACGCAATAATCTCACAAACCAGAGTCAAGGAGGGACACAGTAAGACAGAAACAGAAAACAGATCAGTAAAAGGGCACTAGTCAAAAATGGATTTATACTACAATCTACTGCTTTTTTGTCTGATACTAAAAAGAGGAAACAGTTGACATGAGAGTGAGTGTCCAAGATAACAGACACTAAAACTTCCAGATGCATTTACCAGGCCTCTGGAATTGGAATTCCTTTATACGATGAGCAGTGGCAACCATCACATGACCCATAAAGAATATACCATCTGCCCCATGTCTCTGGGACTTCTGCCTTCAGAAGATAAGGAAAGGCAAATATGACTTTTGTTCATTCAGAGCTACCTATGAACCACACACAGGCTCCCACGGAGGGTGAGAGTTAAAAAGAAGAGATAATTAGGTTGTTTCTTGCAGCATATCCCTACAGAAGTTTGGGGCCCCCAAATACCACTTACAGCCCAACCAGAAATTTGGGAGTGGCAATTGTGTTAACATATTACCAATATTTCTCAGCATACTTTAATAAATTGCTTCAATTCCAACACCTTTGATTAATGAAGCAGTCATTTATCATTTCTAGCTAGCTAAGCAGAACTAAGTTTTGAGTCCCCCCCTTGTATAGTTACAGACCTCAATTCCCCATGTAGAATAAATAGGAGCACCTATTGTAAGCAATGCACTTAGTAAGGGTTTATAATAAGTACTGTACAACAAATCTAAGTAATTATTCTTTATGATCCTGAGGAGCTTGTAATCTTATATAAAGAAAAAGGTAATGCTTAAATAATTATAATACCAAATGGTTCAAGAATGCCATTAGAGGAAGAAAAGCAGAGTGCTATGAGGAAATGTAGAGAGAACAGAGAAGAGAAATAAAAATTTAGTGCAATTTAAAGGGGTACTAGCCTTCCACAATCATAAATTTTGATTTATGCAGAAATCATAAATTTCTCTTACCTGCAATGGTTTCTAGTGTTCTGCTTCCCAAATGAGGCAGTTCCCACACTGGTTCCAGGAAGCTTTCCAGTAATGGATCATTCCTTTTGGCTTTAATTTCAAATTCATATAGCAGAAGCAATGTCTCACATGGATCATTGGAGAAGTCCCCTACGAAAGAGGCAAAAATGCATTTCATTATTCTCTCCTATTCTAATCTCTCTTCTGGGAAGAGTTCCTTGTTGAATAAAATTAATTTTACTTACAATTTGAAGGCTATTCCAACTTCTGTGGACATATTTTTTACATTTTTAAGTCTGTAAATTCATCAATACTTTACATACCCTGTATTGTGATCATTAGCATTGCCCATATTTTCCCAAATGATTGCCGTGATATTCTTAAACAGCCTGAAAATGTCCTGCTGTTGTCTAATTCAAATCCATTGTTAACATGTCTCACTTTAATGACTGAGGTAACCAGAAGATACAGGGTTGTATAAACTAACTGTGGTTTTATTTTAAGGAAAGGAAAGCTTGCAAATTGTTCCATTTAGTCAGTCAACAATATTTCCTGGGTATCAGCATGGACAAAATTTTGTATCAGGGGGCATGTACCATACTATGTAGGATGGTTTTCATTCACCCTGGTACACTGAACTTTTTTTAAAAAGCATTGAGGTCTAGTATACATGTGATAAACTGAATGAGGTGCATTGATGTGAAACAGCTTGATATATTTTTATATATGTTTCAGTCCATATAACCGCTACCCAGATCGTGATATAGAGTACTTCAAAACTTGTGTTTCTTTCCAGTCAATACTACTTGAGCAGAAGAAACAACTATTTTGACTTTATCACTACTGATTGTTATTACCTGTTCTTGAATTTCATTGCTGGTACATAGACACATTATTGCACTTTTCTTTAACAACTGAAAATCAATTAATGTCATACATCATATCAATATAATAGGCAGAAGCTAAATGATGATCTCAATAGAGTCAAGAAAGCATATGAAAAAAATCCAACATCTTTTCCTGAGAAAAACAATGTTGTTTCTTGGTTCCTAGTACATAGCTCCTAGAATTCTTGTAATTTCCTGGGTGATAGAAATGTTTTCTATTCTACTGAGGTCACTCTGAGTGGGCTCCTGGATGGCTCCTACATGAGGACTAGTCACTGCAAATATCAAATTGTGATTAGAAGCTTAGAATTTTCAGCCCCACACCCCATTCTCTTTAGAAGAAAGACGGGCTGGAAGTGGAGTTAATGACCTATCATGCCTGTATGATGAAGCCTCCATGAAAATACCACAAATACAGGGTATGGAAAGCTTCTGGATTGGTGAACTCCTGGAGGTGCTGGATTGGTGAACGCCAGGAGAGAGCGTGGAAACTCCATACCCTCCTCCCACATACCTCTCCCTGTGCATCTCTTCCATCTGGATGTTCATCTGTATCCTTCATCACATCCTTTGATAGTAAACTGGTAAACATAAAATGTTTCCCTGAATTCTGTGAGCCACTCTAGCAAATTGATTGAACCCAAGGTGAGAGTTGTTGGAACCTCCAGTCTATAGCTGGTTGGTCAGAATCCCAGGAGACAATCTGGACTTGCTACTGGCATCTGAAGTGGGAATGAACCCATGAACTGTGGGATCTAATGCTGTCTTTGGGTAGACAGTGTCAGAATCAAGTTGAATTGTTGGGCACCCAGCTGGTGTTGCAGAGAATTGCTTGGTGTGGAAAAAATTTTCCATACATTTAGTGACCAGAAATGTCAGAAGTGAAGTGTTCTCCATGAAGGCAAAGGAGACACACAAGACAGACACAGGAGTAGAAAAAAGACTTTTACGTTTTTGTTCTTTAGGTTTGATATAACCTAACAATAAAAAAGACAAAGAAGCCAATGAAATAAGGAAAGGGCTTGGCAGGCAAGTCCTTTTTTTCCAAAAAAAGATACATAAATGACTAATAAACACATGAAAAGATACCCAAGATCATCAGTCATTAGGGAAATGTAAGTGAAACCACAATAAAATAGCACTTTATTCTCACTAGGATGGCTAAAATCCAAAAGACAATTATGTGGCAAGTGGTGGCAAGGAGGTGGAGAAATGAGAACTCTCATTCAGTGCCTGTGGAAATGTAAAATGGTGCAGCTACTGTGGAAAACAATGCACATTTCTGCAATAAGTGAAATGTACAATTATTGTATGACCCAATAATTCTATTACTAGATATAGACCCCCCAAAATTGAAAGCAGGGACTCTTGTACACCAATATTCATAGCAGCGTTATTCACAATAGCAAAAAAGATGGAAGCAGACCAAGTGTCTATCAACAGATGAATTGATGAGCAAAATGTGGTATATACAATGAAATATTATTCAGCCATAAAAACAATGAGGTACTGATATGTGACCACATGGTTACACCTTGAGAACACTATGCTAAGTGAAATAAGCCAGTCGCCCAAGGACTAATATTGTGTAGTTCCACTTAAATGAAATATCAGGAAGAGGCAAAATCACAGAGACAAAAAAGTACATTAGAGGTTAATAGGGGCTGGGAGAAAGGGAATGAGAAGTTACTTTCTTAAAAAATTTTATTGCTGACACTATTACAGATGTATCCATTCCCCACCCCTGTTTGCCCACTTCTACCCAGGCCTCGCTGCCCCATCCTTGTGGCCATCCCCACACTGTTGTCTGTGTCTATGGGTCATTATGCACGTAATTTATTTGGCTGATCCCTTCACCTCCTTTCATCCCCACTCCCCTCTTCCCACTGAGATCTGTCACTCTGTTCCAAGTATTCACACCTCTGTTTTTATTTTGTTCATTAGATTCCACATATAAGTGAGATCATATGGCATTTGTCTTTCACCACCTGGCTTACTTCACTTAGCATAATAATCTCCAGGTCCATCCATGCTGTAGCAAAAGGAAAGATTTTCTTCCTTTTTATGGCTGTGTAGTATTGTATTGTATAAACATACCATAGCTTTTTTATCCACTCATCTACTGATGGGTACTTGGGCTGTTTCAAGGTTCTGGTGGCTATTGTAAATATGGCTGCTGAAATGGGTTAATCTCCAAAGTATATAAAGAACTTATACAACTCAACACCAGGAAAACAATCCAATTAAAAAAATGGGCAAAGGACCTGAATAAACACTCTCCAAAGAGGATATACAGATGGCCAATAGACATATGAAAAGATGCTCAATGTCACTAAACATCACAGAGACACAAATTAAAAGCACAATTAAAAGCACAAAGAGATACCATCTTATAGCTGTCAGAATGCCTACCACCAATAAATCAACAAGCAAGTGCTGGCAAGGTTTGGAGAAAAGGGAAGGAACCCTGATGCACTGCTGATGGGGATGCAGACTGGTGCAGCCACTGTGGAAAACAGTATGGAATTTCCTCAAAAAACTAAAAATGGAACTGCTTTTTGACCCAGTGATCTCACTTCTGGAAATTTATCCAAAGAAACCCAAAACATTAATTCAAAAGAATATATGCACCCTTATGTTCATTGCAGTGTTATTTACAACAGCCAAGATATGGAAGCAGCCCAAGTGTCTATCAGTAGATGAGTAGATATAAAAGTTGTGGTACATTTACCCAAAGTAGTCCTATTTGGCTGTAAAAAAGAAGAAAATTTTATCCTTTGTGACAGCATAGATGAACCTAGGGAAAATTATGCTAGGAGAAATAAGCTAATCAGAGAAAGACAAATACCATATGATTTCACTCATATGTGAAATTTAATGAACAAATTGAACTAACAAGCAAAATCGAGACAGACTCAGAGAAAGCAAGCTGACAGCTCTGGATGCCACCGTGGCAGGGGCTGAAAGGATGGAGGGACTGAGCAAAAATGAAAAAGAGCTCATGCACATGGACAACAGTGTGTTGACTGCGGTGGGGAGGGGTGGAGGTAGAAGAGGATGTAAGAGGGATAAATGGTAATGGAAAAAACACAACAAAAATGAACAATAAAAAAATGAAAACGACAGACCAATAATTTAGAATTATTAAAAAACAAAATTCATCGACATTTAAAAAATAAAAACACTATGACTAAATAAGGTTTGTTCAAGAAATGCAATGATGACTTAATTTGAGGACATCTACTATAATTCAAAATATTAATTCTGAAAAGACATGTAATTCATTAATGGTCTATCGATTTTTTTAAATTCTAACTAAAACAGGAACAGATGGACACAATATTAAAAAATCTACCTAAGCCTAATAGCCATACCATCCTCAGTAAAGAAACAGGAATAAGCTACTATGTAACTTTAAAATATTTACTACTATTTTGATTACTATTTTATAACAAAATGTTAGCAGTATCTGATGTCAGGATTGTGGTTTGGAAGACTGTTTAGCCTATATTTAGTCGGCATTAAAAGTTGATTAAATTAGACAATTAGAGCAATAATGTCATATATATTCAACACCATATTTGTATAAAGAGCGAAGTAAAAAATATTTTTACTCCAAGCAGTGTGCCAGGGAGTCAAAATACAGACATACAGCAGGGAAAAATTAGTTCTAAAAAATTTTTTTGATTGTTTATCAAGTTCTGCAGTGGCACAAATTTCTGCTGATAAGAGACTAAGTTCTTCAGGTTTCAAACACCCTTTATATAACTGCATTACCACACTCCCGGTTCCCACTATACCTTTTTGTTTCAGGACAGTCCAGATGTCTCTGCATTCATGGATCTGTTCAAGTGCACGATTCAGAAATTTGGCCTATTTGGCAAAAATGAACAACAAAATTAGTTTCAACTAAACAGAACTTTAACCAAATTAATATAATCTTGACATTGTTCTCATGAAAAAACAGTTAAAAATAGAATGATAGTTTAAACTGAACATTTTAGAATTTCTATAGAAACATTAGCCTCTATTTGTACTTTTTCTTAATGTCCCAGGAAAATGAGGATTAAGTAGAAAATCTGAGCATTGTCAATTTTTTTAATAATCTAGGAGAGAAGAGAAGCACTTCCGGGATGGTGGTGTGAGGAGCTCCATGAAGCCTCTCCCCAACAAAACAACCATAACTGAAAATTACAAAACACGATCATGTAAAGTCTCAGGAAATTGGTTTAAGGGCATATAGTAAATCTATTCCAAGAGTCTACTAAGTCTCAGTAAGAACAGCGAGCACCTGTGGCAGTTTAGTCATGATATGCTCACCAGCACCCCCCTCAGTGTGATGTAAGTACTACTTTAAGTGAGTGTGGCCAAGAAGATGGGGTTCCCTCTATCCTTGGTCTCCATGCTAGGAATTCCCAGAAGGAGCACACTGTCATTACTTCTCATCTCTATTTCCCAGGTGTGTATTGCAGAAGCTCTATTATAAAACAAGCCCAAGTGAGAGGCCTGGAGCTCTGTCCCTCTACCCAGTGCCTACTGCATATCAGGCATAGCATCCTGAGAATACTAGGTCTCAACTTCCCTTTGCCTCAGCTTGCTTATAGGATAGGGTTTCCATGCTGGAGAGGTAAGCCAAGAATGTCAGGGACTATGACTCCTGGCCAGCCTTCCACTCACAGAGCTGTATTGTCACTTTGATAGAAATGAGCCACTGTCCCTGCCTCCAGCGACAAAGTAAGAGGTACAGAGTTTTTGCTCAGGAGGTAGGGCAGGCCATTAGAAGAGTGAGCTTTGTAGTTCTCCCTAAAAAGACTGACTTTAATTGGAACAGAGCATGGAAATGTTCCAGTCTAAGGGCACTATAAAAAAAAACCATAGAGATCTTAGTGTTGAACATTTAACAGGTGGCTGATAGCTCTATGATATCAACAAGCAAAACAGTAGACTAGCTCACAGTTTACAGAGAAAACCAGGGGAAGAAAAAACCTAAGAAGATCCCTTCTTCTTCAATTTCTGCTGAAGAGCGTTTTCAAACACACAGAGTCAGGACTAATATCTGGGAATACTACCAATGGAAGGCCATTTAGAAGCTTAACAGGCAGGTTAGGGAAAGAGATAGTAAAAAATGTCCTTGCTAAAAACCACTTTCATCCCTTTGGGGAAGAGGGGCCAGGGCAGCTATGCAGGCAGAGACTGTGCCCTCTGAGGAGTGATACAGCCGTGAGGAAAATAGACTTCAATGGATTAGCTCATGCAAGTCACCAAACAAGTTAATAAGCACATATTAACAACGACAAGCCCCCGAGGGGAATCAGTGTTCAAAGATGCTCCAATATATCATCTAAAATGTCCACTTTTCTACAAAAATGATGAGATATGCAAAGACAGGAATGTGTGACTCATATGCAGGAAAAAAACAGGCAACAGGAACTTACTTTGAAAAGGTGCAGATGTTGAACATAGCAGACACAGATTTCAAAGAATCTATTTTATTTTTTTCAAAGAATCTACTTGAAATATGTTCAAACAACTAAAGGAAACCACACAAAGAAAGAAGGTCTGATGACACTGCCTCAGCAAATACACCGTCTCAATAAAGAAGGCAATGGGATAACACATTTAACTTGATTAAAGAAAATAACAGTAAGCAAGAATCTAATGTCCAGCAAAACTATCTTTCAGAACTAAAAGCAAAATAAGGAAATTCCCAGATAGACAAAAGATGAGAGAATCTGTTGTTAGCAGAACCATTTTTACAAAAACAAACAAACAAACAAAACCTAAGAGAAGTTCTTCAGGCTGAAAGCAAGTGACATCAGATAGTAATTTGAATTTTGAAAAAGTCCACCAGTAAAAGTAATTGTGTAACTCTAGAAGACAATATAAAGATATATTTCTTCTGTCCTCTCTTAACTTTTATTTTTTTAAAGATTTTATTCATTTATTTTTAGAGAGAGGAGAAGGGAGAGAGACAGAGAAACATCAATGTGTGGTTGCCTCTCGTGGGGCCCTTACTGGGGACCTGGACCACAACCTAGGCACATGTCTTGACTGGGAATCGAAACAGCGACCCTTTGGTTTGCAGGCCAGTACTCAATCCACTGAGCCACAGCAGCCAGGACTGTCCTCTCTTAACTTTTAAAAGGCAATTGTATAAAACTATATAGAGGGTTTTACACCTAATAGATATCCATAGACTCCCACCAACCCAAGAAGAATACACGTTCTTCCAAAGCACATACAGCACTTTCTTCAGGATAGACCATATGCTAGGCCACCAAAGAAACTTCAAGTAAACTTAAAATATCTTAAAGTCTCACAAAGTATGTACTCTGACTACAGGGGGGAAAGATTAGAACAAGAAGAGAATAAACAATAGATTCTTAAATAAACAAGTCAAACAATCAAAATGAAAAGTATAAAATACTTTGAGATGAATAAAATGAAAAAATGCAACATGTCAAAACTAATGAGATACTGCTTATGCACTGTGCTATGGTCTGAATGTGTCCCTCCCAAATGGATATGTTAAAATCATAGCCCCCAAAGGTGAAGGTATTGGTAGGTCATGAATTGGGTTAGTGGATTTTATAAGAGATCTCTATGCCCTGCCTGGTGTGACTCAGTGGGTTGGGCATCATCCAGGTGGTTCCATTCCTGGTTGGGGCACATGCCTGGGTTGTGGGCCAGGTCCCTGGTTGGGGGCATGTGAGAGGCTGCTGATCTATGTTTCTCTTGCACATTGGTGTATCTCTCCCTCTCCTTCTCCCTCTCTCCCCTCTCTCTAAAGTAAATAAATATATTTTTAAATCCAAATAGACATTTTCCAAAGATATATAAATGGCAAATAAGCACATGAAAAGATGCTCAGCATGCTTTCTTTTGTCATTAGTTATAACATCATTAGTAATAACATCATTAGGGAAATGCACATCAAAACTGTAATGAGATAGTACTTCATATTCACTAGGATGACCATAATCTAAAGGATATAATAGCAAGTGGTGGCAGGGAGGCAGAGAAAGTGGAACCAACATTCATTGATGGTGGGAATGTAAAATGGCGCAGGTGCTCTGGAAAACAGTCTGGTAGTTCCTCCAATGATTAAACATAGAGTTACTATATGGCCGAGCAATTCCACTTCTAGGTATGTATACTCAAGAGAAATGAAAACACATGTCTACATGAAATTTGGACATGCATTATTCATAATATCTGAACACTGGAAAAACCTCAATATCCATCAATGAATGAATAGCTAAACAAACTATGATGTATTCATTCCATGGAATATTATTCAGCCATAAAAAAAGAAATGATGTATTGATCCAACCTACAACACGGAGAACCTAGAAAAATTACTGAAAAATTATAAAAGACTATAAATAGTATGACATTTACATGAAAAAATACATGGTGGTAGGGATGGAAAGTCACTGCTAATTGGTCAGGGATTTTTTATAGCGAAGGAAAAGTTCTAAAATTAGATTGTGTTAACAGTTGCACAACTCTGTCAATATGCTGAAAAACATTAAATTGTATACTTTAAATGAGTGAATTATAAGGTATGTGAATTTTACCACAAAAAGTCTGTTAAAAAAAATTCTAGGATGGGGGTCAGGATACCTTTCTGTAAAAGGCCACACAGTAAATATTTTAGCCTTTGCCAGCCACATAAACTCTCACATATTTTTCTGTATTTTAATTTATAACCTTTTACAAATGTAAAAACCATTCTTAACTCTCAGAGTATAGTAAAAGAGTCCACAGGCCTGATTTGGCCAGTTAGCAGTAGTTTATCCACCCCCGTTCTAGGAAAAAGATGTAGTTCCTTCATAAATTACAATTACTACACTTGTATATTTTTTAAAGCATCCTTCACTTCCCCTAACCTCATGCTCAAGAGAGTAGAGACAATGTTGGATAAGATTATGAAGGCTATCTGTAGTCCTTCATCATCCATTAATTTAAAAATATTCCAATTTATGAGGACTTAGAGAACAAGGAGTGGATGTATTTGTAGAATTCAACAAGTCCTCATTAGAGAGACAGAGCATCATTCATAGGGACTGAATTTATATGGTAAAAGGCAGAAGTGCATCTTCAATTACCTAAATAGATACCCTTTCAAAAGCAAAGAAAGTTACATAAGGGTTACTAAATTAGAGAGTTCTTATGAAACATCAGGATGTGTAAGAGAAAGAACAGGAAGAAAAAAGAATAGCTGTTAGAAACAAAGAAAATAATTAAGAATAGTACTTAAGAGTTTGTGAAATTGCCCTCAGGTCAGTTTGGTCTCTACTCACTGAGATATAAAATTTAACAAAGTTAGGACTACTAGCTTAAAAGGAAAACTTTAAAAAAGTTAAAAGCACAATGCAAAAACAAGATGCCATAATTATTCTCTAGTAAGGCATAAAATGTTATCAAAAATAAAATTACATTTGCCCTTGCTTGTTAAGAAGCAAAAATGGTTGTTGTTTTGTTTTGCTCTGGGGCACGCAGATACTTTTCTCATTTTGTACAATGTAAAGATTTTTAAAAAGAGGACGCTTTGCTCCTTATGGGTGAGGATTTTGCCTTCTTGACCTCCAGGACTTAGCAGAGTGCTTGGTACTCATGATTTTTAAGTTGTACTCAGTAAGGGAAGGGAAAGGAAGGAAAATGTGTCAGCAAAGATCTGTTAGTTTGTTGCAGATCTGAAGAACCCTATGAAAAAAAGAGATTAACAGAAGGAAGTGAATAGCCATCAAGAAGGATTTACATCAAGTAGGAAAAAAAAAAGAAGCTGGCAAATATGGGAAATTGGGAAGGTTTCTTCTCCCACCTAGAAAGAGAAAAATGGTAGGTATCAAGACCTTAAAATCATACAAAAATGATAGTGGTCCAACTTGGAGAGAATTTTCATAGCTTGAGCGGAAGGTAAGGAACTACAGGCAAACCGATACTCTGGTGTATGGGGGACTGAGATGTTGATACTGGTATCTCCCGAAGGGGGTAAAGTTTAAAAAGGTCAGAGTGGAACTTAGGCAAATGTAGGAATTCTGTCTTTTTGATAAAATTGAGTTAATGATAAAATATTTAAAGACGTGGGCCAAATGCAATTGAGTGAAGAACAACAGGCCAGGTAAATAATTTCAGATGGCTTATCAAAGCTGTGGGGGTAGATGAGTTCTTCCTTAGAAAATAGGTGAAATGAAACATAAGAGGAAAAACTCCTATGGATCACATATGATCACAGGGAGATGATGAAGACAGAGAATATTTAAAAAGAGATTCAGAAAGAGTGGTCCATGGGAAGGGGCATTTTAGACATTCAATCTTTTTGAAAGAAGAGGCCAAGCCAAAGGTAACCTATCCTTAGGAAGGAATTAGCCATTATAAACCTTTGCAAATCAAGATGCTTGCTGGAAGGGAGGAAAGAATTTTCTACAGAGAATCAAAAGAACTGCATCAGGGAAGGCAAACGTACCAAACAGTACACTGAACTCTTTTGTCTTATTCGAAGGTTACACATTACCTGTTCAAAAGGTGTTAGAGCTCTTCTCGCTTGCTCAAGATCAACTGAAGTTGCCATCAGTAAACACGTTTTCTGTGCAATCATAACTACTTCATCAGAAGGACAAAACAGGGACAGCTGATAAGAAATAACCAAAACATCAATGAATAGTGAGAATTCTGCAGGTGAACACCAACAATCAGAATGAAAATCAGCAATATTCTGTCTGAATGAGAAAACTCAGCTGGAAAAGCACATCCCACCTTACGAATAATATAGACTATAACATTAATTTATGGTTTCAATTTTATATTACTTTCCATTGTTTTTAAGCACCTTTCTAGAGATAAAATGCTTCATTTCTTCACAGTTTTCCTAGTCTTCTCCATGAAAAGTACTGTCATTCGGCCCTGTATTTCTATCTAGTGATCTACTTCTTGGTTTATGTTGTAATTTCTAAGTTTTTTTCCCTTCCGGCAAATAGATTTCCCCTTTGCACTGAATACAGCTGAAATTAGTACATAGATTGTCATGGCTGAAAGAGACAATGCCAAATCTTGACAGGCATTAGACATAACCTCATCATTAAAATTTGTTCTCTAGCTTTGGGGGGAAAAAAGTCCCTGCTTTGTATTAAAATAAAACTCTGGGCCACTTGGGATTTCCACATGGAATCCTACACGTGCTATCACAAATGTCGAAACAAAAAGTAATTTATTTCACTTAATTAATTAAAATTATACCTAATTTTCCAAAGACTATTTCTTAATCTTTCCAAATGTTTAGTGATTATAACCATTACCACCATTGAACTAATAGCATTTCAAAATACCCAGTCTCTCTCAGTATCAGGCTACTCATATACAAGATGAGGCAGTGGTGCTAGATTATCTCTATAGTTCTTTTCAGTTTGAAAACTCTTACCATTTAATCTATCTCACTATATCAAACTGTATTCTCCTGAATGTGTGAGCAATATTCTTTAGCACTTCTCCTTTTATTTTTCATGAATGCTATACTGGCTTTCTTTCTGGATTTAACCTCTACCTTGGAGGCCAATGACTATGTACAAATGCTTATAATTACAAAACAAGCTCACAAACCTTTACACACAGAACCCGCTCTAGGAAAAATTATGAAGTTGGCCCAGGCTTCTTAGCATCCTTTTTACTCCCTGTTGTCTCCAGATACCTATTCTATATTCCTCTAGACTTATACCCATAAACTTTCCTAATGTTGATAACTGATAATTTTTTAGAGGATTCCCCCTCTTAAAGGTGGTTACATGTTAATAATATAGGCCTCTGGGAGACCAAAATTCCTTCAAAGGCAAGGAAGTCAGTCTCTTATGGTAAAACTTCAAGCTCCATCGTTAATGATGGAGAGACCTGCTTCATGGTCTCACATTATACCCTATAGGGTTCACATTCTCTCTAGGTCATTCCTGCTTAGACATGTATCAAAAGTTCCTACATTAAAAGCCAATGCCACTCTATATTTAGCCATCATTGTTATATCCTTGTTGTGTGACATTCATGAGATAGTTATCAGAAGAGACTCACCTTGTAAGAAAGTATGAAAAATTCTCTCATTAGCAGTGGCTCTTTATTGGATTGCACAGCCAAATTCCAAGCTGAAAGTTAATGTGAAATAATATGGTTATGAAGATCTACTCTTTAATAAGTACCATTATCAGGGTTAAAAAAAAAGCTAACTGCAGCTTTTAGAGAAGTTTTTTCAGGTAAATTTAGAGACTTCTATTCCTTCCAATCTTCAATTCTAGGCCAATGACCAATGGAGGTAGTGCTGCTTTCAGAAAAAATTGGAGGACCCTGGCTGATGTAGCTCAGTGGATTGAGCACTGGCCTATGAACCAAAGGGTCACCAATTCGATTCCCAGTCAGGGCACGTGTCTGGGTTGTGGGCCAGGTCCCCAGTGGGGAGAGGTGTGTGAGAGGCAGCCACACATTGCTGTTTCTCTCGTTCTCTATCTCTCTCCCTTCCCCTGTCTAAAAATAAATAACTAAAATCTTTTTAAAAATTGGACGATATACAATAAATTCTTAGCACAAATCCATCTAAAAAAATGAGGCTCACCAAGGAGCTCAGTAATTGGCATTGGTGAAAAGAAGTTAAAATTTAGCAAAGAACATGGTATACTATAATCAAGGGTTGAGGAAAGCTGCTATAAAGTTTGACATCGTCTACAGAGCAGTGGAAGCCCCCATTAGGCAACATTCAGCATGAGCTTCACCTTGAAATTTCAAAATGAAAATTCACTAAAAAAAGTATTGGAAAGTAACTTTTCAAACTTTCACAAAATGAAAGTCATTAAAACCTTTATTTGCATAAGTTTCTCAGAAGCCAGACTGCTGTATTTATTCCCCTTTCTCCTACATTAGAGCCCTAGTAAACTCCATAACACAGAAAAGGGTCCATGTAGACTCCGTCCACTTTGTGATATTGCTGCTGAATTGTTCCTGTTTACTTATCACTGTAGTGACTGCCTGCACAAAATTCAACTCTACAGCTTGATGGAGTTTCACAAAGTGAATATATATCCATGTAACCAATACAAATCAAGAACAATCTTGATCTTAACCATATACCCAGAAGCAACCCCATCAACACTCTTCAAAGTCTAACCCCTCTCAAGGGTAACCACTACCCTCAGTTCTAACATCATAAATTAGTTTTGCCTATTGTTATTTTTTTACCATATATAAATGGAATCATACAATATGTACTCAATGCCTGGCTTCTTTGAGTACATACATTATGTACTCAACATTCTGTTTGTAAGATTCATCCATATTGTTGCCTATAGTTTATTTTGATGAATCATGTTCAGAGATAAATTGGGCATTCTAAACCAAGTTTAGGAGCATAACCTTGGAGATGTGCAATTATAATTCATCATTTTATTTTTAGAGCCATTTTTATACAAAAGGAAGAAAACTAATATTGATTGAGTACCTATGATGTTCCAGGTACATACAATGTTTCATTAATAATCTTGTGAAGTATATATAATTGTTCTCATCTTACAAATAATTAACCTGAGGTTAAGCAGATTACTCTCGTACCCATAGATACAAATGAAAGAGCTAACATTTGAATCCACATCTGTTGACTCTACTGACCCATAATGTTGCCCACAGCCACAGAATTTTTCATTTACCTATTTTTCTGAACCAGTGAGCTTCATTAATCCTTGCTTGTGTGATTGAAATTCTTGTAACAGAAGCCTGGGAAAATGTCACGATTGCTGCACGAAACAAGAAAATTTGATATGGAGGTCTTTTGCTCTAGCAAAGTTGTTAATCCTGCTTTAAAAACAGTGGAACATGAGTTTGAATTTAGAGAGTTCTTTTTGTGTGTGTGCACGCACAGTGGTGCATATCAAAAGTAATTAAAGTGACAAAAAGCATTACCAAGCTCCAAGAAGCTGTTAATTCAAACATTGAGAAATAAACACATCTTTGGAAAGACTTATAATTTTAATTAAAGCAATCAGTCACAACCTGAGGTAGAAAGATATGATTTACATGTAAGGAAATAAATAATTGGAACAATCATACTAATGTACACAAATAAACACAAAGTTAGAAAGAAGACTGAAGTGGAGACTGAGAATTGGAAGAGTATCGATAGGCTGGCATAATATTTACTGAGCTCCCACTGCAAGCACGTTACAGAACCAAGAACATGATGCCATCAGAAAGCATTTACCACACACCTGCATGCTCTTCCGAGAGACCAGGGTATCAACCAGCAAAGTCATTCTCTTTTGAAAAGCTTTGGTTTCTAAACCACTTTGCCACATTTAACACCTTGCTGACAGGTATTGGAGGTATAAAATTGAACTACTGCAATAAACAGAGTTTCTAAGAGGTGGAGCTGGTATGTTCTGGACATAAGGAAACAGGTATGTGAGCAGCAGATGTGGGTAGACCTGTTAGGCAAAAGGGAGACACCACGGAAGAAATCGTGGTAGCTTGAATGGAGGAGACACAGGAATTATTAGTAGATAGGGGAGATAACATAGACATGGGTAGATGGAGGGGTAGCTTCAAAATGACAATAAGCAATCTGAATTTGATTCAGAGGACATGAACACTGGCAGGGGAGGAAGGGAGGAAATGCTCTTCACACACATTGGAATAGAAACAAGCCGAATCACATTTGGAGATGAATGGTAGGGATGACAAACTTGTCTTTGCTTGTGAAAAAAGAAACCAAAGTAGACTGCTGTGACCAGTGTTAACAAAAGTATGAAGCTTACCTGACACATGAAGTCTGAGTCAGTGTGCTTAACATAGTTGGAGAATTTAACAAAAGATAGAAGCAAGATGAAGGACTGAAAATGGCAGGAGATACTTACCTGTATTCAAGGCACTCAAAAGTCTATCAATTTCTCTTTTTCTAAAAAATAAAGAAAAGAGTATTTTCTTACCATTCCAAGGCTTTACTATAGAAAAGTACCACAATGAGACCCTATTTGTGTCTGAGAGCTGTGCAAAAGTGCAAAATTGTGAAGTGCACTGTTCAAACCTCCAACATGTCATTTCAACACTATTTTCCCCCACCACAGAATCCTGTTCTTCATCCCCAGTGCCCTCATGGTTTTTCTCTATTCTTCTACACCTTCTTGCAACAAAGAATTTCAATGACTGATAAGGTTTTACATGACAGGGTCATAGAATACAATAGTAGATAATGATCTCTGTGATTTGAGGTTTTTTTTGAAAAGGGGAAATTAAAACCCTTGTTTCAAATAAAATTTTATAAAAGTCTAATATACCAGAAAAGATCAAAGCATAGCTGGCTCTGGTTGAACCAGTGGTGGATGGAGGCCTAGAGCCTCAGCTTCCTGAAAGTCCCTGAGTCTGTGCCCTGAAATTCCCAGGGTTCTGAGAAATCTAGTTTAAAAACCACTTGTTCCATCCAGAGAAAACAAATCTGGAAATAGGGGGATGATGTGTCCAAGGTCATAAAAGTAATGACAATGTCAAGACTAGTACCCAGGTCTGTTGACCCTTAGTCAAACTTCTTTCATGGGTATATAATTTTTAACAGAGGAAAATATTCCACTTAAACAAAGGAATGAATATGGAAGTATTGGCAAACTCAATGAAGAAAGGTTAGAGGAAGCGGGGTAGGGCATACTATAAGACTGGCTTCTTCAGGAGAAGGTCTAGTATTATATAATAATACTGCTCTTTAGGAACAGTAACAGCTTTCTCAGGGATAAAAATTAGAATTCTGGTTTACATTAAGTAACTTCTTCCAGTAAATTTTATTAATTTGAATTACAGCTAAGCTAGTTACTTTCTTTCCTATTTAATTTGGTAAGCATATAAAATTATCTAGGAAGGGTCCATTAATGCAAATAAATAATGCAAATAAGTATGAGGATATGAAAAAGGGATGTGTGGTTTATTTAAGAGACAAAGTGCTTTTAAAATTTTAGCCCGCAAATTTATCAATATTTAGGTAGATACTGCTAGTTAAAAAAAAACACAGGATTTTTAGAAGAGAAAGAAACTTCAGTAATTATAAAGTCCAGCTTTTCATTAATTAACAGATGAAGAAAATACAGCTTAGAGAAGTTAAATAAGTTGCTATTGCCTAAGGTAAAGCAGAAGTTAGTGAAACAGCTGAAACTAGAATTCAATTCTGTCTCCTCCTATTGAATTAGGCTTTAAAAAAAGTTAGTATATTCAATTTGTTAAATCAGGTCCTGACCGCTACCTGAAATCACTGCTAGCAAATGTTTTTTCTTACTATATATTTTTTAAAACAATAAGGATATAAAGTCTTCTGCAATTTAAGTTTATCTTTAATTCAAACAGGATGCCTTTCCTTTTCTCCATCTCCAAATTGGTTTCAATCAGTGGGATTTCACAGTATGCTACAATTACATGGGTTCCAAAGCCTCTTGTAAGTCTAGCAATAAAGATCTTATTTTAAAGAACAAATATTCTGCAATTTAAATAAATTGAGTTGCTATTATGTATCAAATACTACCTGAGGTTCCAGGTAAATACAAATATTCCTAGCCTTCAAGGAGCTCTTACAATCTAGTAACTATTAAGGTTTAGTCTCTCAGTTTCCTTTTTTATTTTTTAACTTTTAAAATAGAATTTACTAAGTGACATTGGTTAATACAATTATATAGGCTTTATGTTTACAATTCTATAATGTATCATCTGTATATTATATTCTGTGCTCACCACCCCAAGTCAAGTTTCCCTCCATCAGTATTTATCCCCTAATACCCCCTTCCACCACTCCTTACCCCTTTTCCCCTCTGGTCATCACCATACTGCTGTGTCTATGAGTGGTTTTTTTTTTTTAATCCCTTCACCTTTTCACCCAGCCCCCCAACTCCCCTCCCCTCTGACAGCTGTTAGTCTTTTCTCTGTATCTATGAGTCTGTTTCTATTTTGTTAGTTCATTTACTTTTTGCATAAAATTTCAAAGATACTTATATGTTAACATACATGTGAATTCCCATGTACCTATCATTCCGCTTCAATAATTATTAACTCATCATCAAGCTTACTTCAATATGCTCCACTCCTTCCCCTCCCATATTATTTTGAAGCAAATTCCAGACTTCACATCATTTCATCCATAAATATTTTAGGATATGTCTCTAACAGTCAAGGATTTTTAAAAAAAGAAATATAACCACTAATCCATTATATGCCTAAAAATTAATAACTTCTTAATGCAATCAAATATTTGGTCATTATTCAAATTTCCATTTGTCTCAATAGCTTTTGTTGTGGGTGTTGATTGAGTTGCCTTGCAATGGGTTCACAGGGCTTGTAAAGAAGTAAAACCATACATGCTTGGGTAAAATTTGTATTATGAAAAGACTTGTCATCAATGCAATATTATCTCAATCACAGATATTTCCCAAATAATTTAGCTGAAAAATATATTATCTCCAGGTCCAAATGTATAAAGCAAAAGTGAAGTAGAGGTACACAAAAAGCAGAGTTTTGTCCGATTAGAGAATGCAAAGACGGTAATAGTTCTCTGAAAGCTATCCCCAATCAAGGCCTTGAATAGAGTTTTCTTTCAAATCATTAGGACGTTGTGAATTTTGTGAATGGAAAATATCAATGACCCAATTCTCCCACAAACTGTTAATTTCTTAATATCTTATGCCATGGAAACTATGAGCAGAGAGGTATTTGAATACTCTCAGCTGAACTGATACAGAATCAGGATCAGCATGAACAAGTCAACAAGGTCATATGCTTCTGTGGGATATATCAATATTTAAGTCTCCTCTTAAGAAAGAAGGAAACAGATGCAATATCATAATGAAATCACAGCTAACATTGTTTAGGGCTTAGTAAGTTCCTAGTAATTTTCTTCTAAATGTTTTACATGTATTTATTCATCCAGTCACCACAGCAACCCCATAGAGTAGGCAGTATAATTATTCCCTTTGTGTGGACAGGGAAACTAGCCCAGGTCACACATGTAGTAAGTGGCAGAGCCAGGATATAAAGCCAGAAGACTAGCCCCACAGCCTATAATGGTCTTACCCACTATACTATACCTCTCTTGATATAAAGTTTCTATTGAAAGCTACTACTATGATTTTTCTAATGATGAATACATTGCTTCCATTGAGAGAACTTACTTGTTTTCAGATTCCTGCACATCAGAAACTTTTGGAACAATAAGACGGCACAGGCACCTGTATGATAAAGTAATATACAGTGACACTTAAGAAGAGACATGTCAAAGAATACATACCAAATTATTAACCTTGTTTACCTCAGAAGGCAGAAAGGAGATTAATTCTATTTTATTTATGAATCTTTGTATTATTTTTAATGGTTATAATGAAAATATACCAATTTGTAATTTTGGAAGGGTAAATTAAATAATTTAAAAACAAAAGCGATGTTTATGACAAATTCGCAAATTGTTCCACAGTGTACATCATTGTTCCAAATCACCTGCTAGAACATCAAGTATCATATACAAACAAGTGTTCATGTGTTTTTTCTTCCCATAAAGGAATCTGGAGCAGCATTTGGATTCCACACAAACTAGGATGACTATTCTTTGAACAAATCTGGCAGCATAATGATACATGGACAAAATAATGTCAGTTTGTAAAGTTTCAAATGCCAAAAATCTTTAAAAAAGGATTTTCTTTACTTTTAGAGAGAGGGGAAGGGAAGGAAAAAGAGAGGGAGAGAAACAGTAATGTGGAAGAAATACCTAACAGCTGCCTCTCACAGGTCCCCAACTGAGGACCTGGTGTACAACCTACGCATGTGCCCTGACCAGGAATCGAACTGGTGCCCTTTTAATTTGCAGGTGGGCACTCAGTCTACTGAGCCACACCAACCAGGGCCAGATCCTAAAAAATCTTTCAAAAATACCATCTATTTTGAATGATTTTAGATATTTATCTGACTGAAAGCATGCAAGTATCTCAGGACTCCTTCTGATACTTGTATTTCTGGGACTCCACTTCCCTTTGGCAGCGTGGCCTCAAGTAGCCCTTCTGGTTTCCAATTTTTCCCACTGGCATATTCTCAGTCACATCACTTTCCTACCTCACTTTCCTCTGCCTTACTATTGTAGAAGTTCCCTTTTGATAAACTATTTTCCCTCATAAAGAGAAAAGGGGGGAAATCAGGTTCAACAGTTATCTTTTTTAATCCTTACCCGAGAACATCTTTTCATTGCTTTTAGAGGAAAAAGGAGGCTCAGAGGTAGAGATAGAGATAGACAGAGACAGAGAGAGAGAGAAACATATCTAGGTTGAACCCCCAACCTTGGTATGTTCCCTGACTGGGAATCGAACCTGCAGCCTTTCAGTGTACCAGACAACGCTCCAATCAACTGAACCACACCAGCCAGGGATTTTTTTTTTAATTAAGCATCCCTATCAAATTTCTGATGGTATTTTTTTACAGGAATAAAAAATAAATCCTAAAATTTCTGTGGAACTACAAAAGACCCCAAGTAGCCAAAGCAATCTTGAGAAACAGCAAAGCTGAAGGGATCACTCATCCTGACTTAAAGTTATACCACAAAGCTATAGTAATCAGCATGGTACTGGCATAAAAATAGTCATACAGACCAAGGTAATAAAATTAATAGAGTCCAGAAATAAGTCCACATATATATAATCAGCTAATATTGGACAAGGGAGCCAAGAATACTCAAAAGATGAAAGACAGTTTTTTTTTCAATAAATGGTGTTGGGGAAACTGGATATTCACATGCAAAAAAAAAAAAAAAAAAAAGGAAACTGGGTCCCATATCTTGTATTACTCTCAAAAAATTAACTTGAAATGGACTAAAGTCAAATATAAAACCTGAAACCACAAAAACCCTAGAAGAAACCACAGGAAAAGAGCTTCTTGACAATGATTTTTTGGATATGACACTCAAAGCATAAACAAGAAAAGCAAAAATTAATAAGTGGGACTACATCAAGCTAAAAAGCTTCTGTACAGCAAAAAAGAAAAAAATTATCAACAAAATGAAAATGCAACGTACAGAATGGGAGAAAATATTTGCAAACCATGTATCTGATAAGGGTAAACATCCACAGTATATAAGGAACTTATATGCCTTGACTGGTGTGGGTTAGGCATCGTCCCACAAACCAAAAGGTCACTGACTCGATTCCCAGTCAGGGAACATGCCTGGGTTGCAGGCCAGGTCCCCAATTGGGGGTGTGCAAGAGGCAACTGATTGATTGATGTTTCTCTTGCACACAATGTTTCTTTCTCTCTCCCTCTCTCTCTAAAAATAAATAAAACTTTAAATAAAGAAACTCATATGACTCAATAGAAAAACAAAGGCACAAAAACCCAACCGATCTGATTCTAAAATGAGCAAAGGACCTGAAAAGATATTTTTCCAAAGAAGACATACAGATGGCCAAGCAGTACATGAAAAGATGCTCAACATCACTAATCATCAGAGAAATGCAAATCAAAACCACAGTGAGATATCACCTCACACCTGTTAGAATGGCATCATAAGAGCTAAGTGTTTGTGAGGATGTGAAAAAAGGGGAACTTTTGCACTGTTAGTGGGATTATAAATTGGTACAGCCACTATGGAAAACAGTAAGAAGGTTTCTCAAAAATTAAAAACATAACTACCACATGAGACAGCAGTTCCCACTTCTGGTTATATATCCAAAGGAAAGACAATCACTGCCTTGAGGAGATATCTGTGCTCTCATGTTCACTGCCGCATTATTCACAGCAGTCAAGATTATGAAAACAATCTAAGTGTCTGGATGAACAGATAAAACATGGCATGCACACATGCAGGAAATCCCTTCCTCTCTATAGGATGTGAATTACTTACTTTAAAGCTATCAAGACTTGTTCTGGGTCTTCTGAACATATAGCTAAATATTCCAAAGCTTTTTCTCCCACAGCTTGTTGTCCATTCTAAAAAGGACAAAATAGAATTATGTTAAATTATGCCTCAAAGTGATATTTACAAAATGTTATCCATATTCCTGCCCATTAACGACAAGAAAAATATATCAATTTGTTCATTTTGTATTCTCAAAAGAGGTCTTGCAAGATGGTAGAATAATACAGCTCATTGACAGAAACAGAAGAGGTTCATATTGGTGTCAGAAACCCATTCCTCCCTATGCAGAAACACTAAGAGCCCTGCCAACCTTGCTATACTTGGAACCTTACCATAGGGTCTCTGTATTGGCTTTCAATTCTTTGCACAAGTGTTATCTTCTCAATGAGACCTACCCTCACTACCCTATTTAAAATGATAACTCACACCAATCCATCCCACTATCACTCCTGATCCTTTTTTATTCTGCTCTATTTTTTGTATGACCCATCAACTTCTAACATATACAAATTTGCTTGTTTATTATCTGCTTTCCTTCTGCTTGAATGTAAGCTTCAAGAAAGCCTATCACTGTTTCATTTCCTTAGTTATCCCAAGATACTAGAACAGTGCCTGGCACATAGGAGTTACTCAACAAATATTTGCCAAGTGTATGATATTCTCACTAGCATTTCAAATGCCATTTATAAAGCAACTGTAGTGAGTGAAAACTGGATACTATACTTATTCCTTTGTGGGTATATATTCAATTTCTTGGGTTTGGTCACCCATCCTCTAATTCAAACTACTTTTAGGTATTTTTTAAAATTTTCTCCACCTCATTAAAGCCATTTTACTGTTCAGAAGTACAGTTCCATAATTCTTCTGCTTTCCATATAAAATATAAATTTATAAACCTTCACTTAAAAAGGTATTTGCCTTTGACTTCCCCACTACCAAATTCCTCTCATTTCTTCTCCTCTTTAACATCCTACACAAACGTATCCTGTATCTGCATCTGCCAAATATTTTTCCTCCTCTAAGAGTTCTGTTATTCTATTTATTAACATTAAGACATAGATCATTCAAACCATATTCAGTAACCACTATGGGCAAGATATTGGGCTAGGTGCTAAAAATATGGTCCTCAAAGATTTCACAAGTTGATTTGGGTGGACAAGCCATACATTAGCAGTATAAGGCCATGACTAGCATGCATGTTACAAATTACTGAAATTCAAAATAGATAGAGAACATGAGGATGGAAATGATTTGGGAAGTCTCCACAGTGGAGGGAAACCTTAGGTTGGGCTTTGAAAAGGGTACCATTTAAATAAGCAAGAATGCTTTTTTAAAGATGGTATAAACAAAACATGTAAAAAGGAATGTGATTGGCCTGTTTGAGAGACACTATGTTTGGTTGGAGTGATAGAGGACTTATGTCTTCACCATCCTAGATCTTTGGCTAATGTAATGGTAGCTTATATTACTATGATGTCTACATGTAGATGTAAACAAAACTAACCCCATCTTTATGTCTCAGATTTCATTTGAAGTTTCATGCTGTGATCTTTGACCAACATCATTGCTCTTAGAAAGCATATCAAAGACTTCTAATTGATGATTATCTGTATTGCTTAAAACATAGCTATAAATATTGTTGTTATAACACCCAGAATGACATCAACTGAGATAAATATTAAAGTAGCAATAGCATCAATTATAAACAATCACGTGTCACAAGACCACTAGGAGGTATGACCCCTGGCACTACTGCTTTCTTTGTCCCTTTGTTCTGTCAGTCATTAGCACCAAAGTTATACTATAAAACTGTAACAGGGGTCTAGTAGTGGAGAATAATCTGTGCATAATAGTTGGGTCATCTGTTCCACTCTGACCCAATCTTCCCATGAGTAAACTGTTTTATAGTAAATTCTGTTATATTCTATGAAGTTGCCTGCTTCATTTTTCAGTCTTAAGATACATTCTCACTCACCCCAGCACTGAACATATGATGATGATGTAGGGGAGTAATATGAGATAAAGTAGAAGAAATAGCTGCTGTGGCCAGGATGTACATGTGTTAATAATAACAGAAATACTGTATTCGTAGACCAAGCTTCAAATCACATCTTTAGCTACCTTCTCAGTTAATTTCCACAATTCTGTAGGTACGTATTACCTTTATTTTTACAAATGATGAAATTAAGAATCTAGTCCATCATTGGGTCTAAGAGCTCCACAGTTGCTATGATGCTTTTCCTAATCTTATATATTACTAAGGACTAGAATTCTGCAGGTGAAAAACAGGGTGCAAATACTTATTACTTCTGAAGCAAGAGTGCTTTGTGGTCAAGAACCGAAGAGGTCCGTGGACATTTAAACTGGTTTTATTTTTTTCAAATTGATGAGAAAAATAAGTTTCTTAATAGATAACCACTGAATTTGTTTGCATGGCATAGCATTTTAAATTGGGTGCTTCTTTCTAAACTTAATGTTTTCTTATATTTATTTTTTCTATAGTCTTAAGCACAAATCTGTTACCTCATTTTGTTTCATTTACAGTATAAAGAAATGAAGAGAAATATAACAATTCTGCAATCAAGGCTGGTGTGAAAATATGAGACCAAATACTAAAAGGAGTAAGCGCAGGTCTCTCTTGTGCCTAAATTGTCTCTCAAAATGAAAAATAGGTAAAAATTTCATAAATAATACATAAGAGTTACCTCTAGAGCAAACTGGGCAGCTAAGCCTAAAAGCCTGACATGTGAACGAGCATCTGTAAATAAGTCAGTCTCTGCTGGCTCTTCAGACATTAGTGTATCCTTGAAAGCGGTAATTGCTCGCATAGCTGAAAAACAAGAAAACAATTCAAAACATGAGATGCTCTTATAAAAGATAATAGTTACCAATGATTAATTATATCACAATGACTTTGGAACACATTTTATGAGCATTAATATCTCCAAAATATTAATTTCCATAGTCATCTAAATTACTAAACTTTCAAGGAAGACTTAAATGTCAGAAAAATGCCCAACTGAACAATTCGCCTCTGTGAATTTATCCCACAGACATATATGCAAAAGCAAGCAAAAACAAGTATGTTCATCTAACAATATTTATAAGAATAAAATATGGAAGCAACCTAAATTCCACCAACAATGGATAGGCTAAATGCATTTTGGTATATCCATAAAGTGGAATACAGAATGTAGTAGAATAAATGAATGATAGTATTGTATTCCATTATGTCTTAAAGGTAGACTATGATAATGTAGTAATATATGTAGTAAAGACAGCATGGATGGACCTGGACACTATTATGCTAAGTGAAATAAGCCAGTCAGTGAAAGATGATCTCACTAATATGTAGAATCTAATGAACAAAATAAACTAATTAACAGAGACTTCTGGCCAAGATGGAGGTGTAGGTAGTACACACTGTGCCTCCTCACACAACCAAAAGAAGGACAACAACAAATAAAAAAACACATAAAATCAAACTGTATGGAAGTCCAACAACCCAGAAGTTAAAGAAAAAACATTTGTCTATCAAACATTCATGAAAACATTCATCCCAGTAGGAGGGGCAGAGAGATCTCGGAGCAAGGTGGTGGCTGGTAGACCCAGGTGGGAAAGGCGGCAGCTGGAAGAGTGGGCAGTCCCACATCTGCGTGTGAATAACCATGAGGAACAACTAGGGAGCAAGACTGACCGTGCAACCCAAGGTCACAGTGCCAGGAAATAAAGCCTCAAACCTCTCACTGAAAAATCCTGTGAGGGTTGAAGCAGCAGGAGAAATTCCCAGCCTCATAGGAGAGTTTGTTGGAGAGACCCACAGGGTCCTAAAACATACACAAACCCACCCACCCAGGAATCAACACTAGAAGGGCCCAATTTGATTGTGGGTAGCAGAGGAAGTGACTGAAATCCAGCAGAGAGCCATGCAAGCACCATTGTTCCCTCTCGGACTCCTCCCCCACACACAGGTCACAATGCAGTGATGTGGGTTGCCCCACCCTGGTGAATAACTAAGGCTTCGCCTCTTACTACATAACAGGTATGCTGTGACAGAAAAATGGCCCAAATGAAAGACCAGATCCAAGCTTCAGAAAAAATACAACTAAGCAACAAGTAGATAAGCAATCTACAAGATGCAGAGTTCAAAACACTAGTAATCAGGATGCTCACAGAATTCGTTAAGTATGGTCACAAAATAGAGGAAAAAATGAAGGGTATGAAAAGTTAAATAAGCCCTGGCTGATGTAGCTCAGTGGATTGAGTGCGGGCCTGTGAACCAGACGATCGCGGTTCGATTCCCAGTCAGGGCACATGCCTGGGTTGCAGGCCAGTTCCCAGCAGGGGCCAGTTTCCAGCAAGGGGTGCACCAGAAGCACCCATACACTGATATTTCTCTCCCTCTCTCCTTCCCTTCCCCTCTTAAAGGTAAATAAATAAAATTCTTTAAAAAAAAGTTAAATAAAGGAAAATGTACAAGGAACCAACAGTGATGGGAAGAGAACTGGGACTCAAATCAACTGTTTGGAGCAGAAGGAAGAAATAAACATTCAACCAGAACAGAATGAAGAAACAAGAATTCAAAAATATGAGGAGAGGCTCAGGAACTTCCAGACAACTTTAAACATTCCAACATCCGAAATATAGGGCTGCCAGAAGGAGAAGAGGGAGAGCAAGAAATTGAAAACTTACTTGAAAACACAATGAAGGAGAAATTCCCCGATCTGGTGAAGGAAATAGACTTTCAGGAAGTCCAGGAAGCTCACAGAGTCCTAAAAAAGTGGGACCCAAGGAAGCACACACCAAGGCACAATAATTACATTGCCAAGATAAAAGATAAGGAGAGAATCTTAAAAGCGGCAAGAGAAAAGGAGAGAGTTACCTAAAAGGAGTTCCCATCAGACTATCAGCTGATTTCTCAAAAGAGACCTTACAGGCAAGAAGGGGCTGGAAAGAAGTATTCCAAGTCATGAATGGCGAGGACCTACATCCAAGATTACTCTCTCCAGCAAAGTTATTATATTTAGAATGGAAGGGCAGATAAAGTGCTTCCCAGATAAGGTCAAGTTAAAGGAGTTCATCATCACCAAGCCCTTATTTTATGAAATGTTAAAGGGAATCTAAAAAGAAGATAAAAAATATGAACAGTAAAATGACAAGAAACACACAACTATTAACAACTGAACCTAAAAACAAACAAACAAACAAACAAACAAACAAACAAAAACAAACTAAGCAAACAACTAGAACAGAAAGAGAATCACAGAAATGGAGATCACATGGAGGGTTACCAGCAGGGGAGTGGGAGGGAGAGAGGGAGGGGGGAAGGTACAGGAAATAAGCATAAATGATAGGTAGAAAATAGACAGGGCAGGTAGAAAATAGATATTAAGAATAATATAGGTGGAGGAAAAAATAGGAAGGACACAGGGACGAGAACTAAGGGGGGTGGAAATGGGAGGGAGGTGGGGAGCAAGGGGCGGGGGGAGGCTGGGATGGGAGAAATAGACAAAAAACTGTACTTGAAAAATAACTAAATAAAATTTTAAAAAATAAAATTCTCCTGTTAAACCATCAAAAAAAAAAAACAAACTAAAAATGGAACTGCATTTTGACCCAGAGATTCTGCTTCCAAGTCTAAAAAAGAATATATTATGAGCAAGTGTTTATTCCAAGAATGTAGTGTTTAACAGTTGAAAATCCATGCAACTGATCACATTAACAAACTTAAAAAATTGGTTACTTCAGTAGATGCAGAAAAATCATATGCTCAAATTCAACATCCATTCCCATTAAAAAAAAAAAAAAACAACTCCCAGAAAACTAGAAATAGAAGGGAACTTCCTCAACCTGACAAAAGGTATCTGTGAAAAGCCTATACCTAACACATCATAAAACTTAATAGATAAGGACTCAATAAATACCTTCCCTCTCAGATAAGGATGTCTGTTCTCACCTATTTTATTCAACACTGAACAGGAGATACTAACAAATACAATAAAACAAAAAAAATTGTATTCAGATTGGACAAGAACAAGTAAGATTATTTTCATACACAGACAACATGATCATCTCACTAGAAAAATCTGAGAGAACATACAAGTAAGCTACTGGAACTAATAAGTGAATTTAGCAAGTTTGTAAGATATAAGGTCAATATATAAAATCATTTGTATTTCTACATACTAGCAATGAGCAATCAGAAACTAAAGATTTTTATAATGCTATTTCCTTTTTTAAAGATTTTATTTATTTATCTTTAGAGGGGAAGGGAAGGAGAGAAGGAGAGAAATATCAATGTATGGTTGCCTCTTGTGAGTCCCCTGCTGGGAACTGGCCTGCAACCCAGGCATGTGCCCTGACTGGGAATTGAACCAGGATCGTGTGGCTCATAGGCCCACGCTCAATCTACTGAGCTACACCAGCCAGGGCTTTATAATGCTATTTCAAATAGCATAAAATATTATATTCTTAGGAAGAAATCTGACAAAAGATGCACAAGACCTATATACTGAAAGAAGACATCTCTGAGAGAAATTAAAGACTTAAATAAATGGAGTTTTACAACTTGTTCATGGATTGGAACATGACAATTCTCTCCAAACCAATATACAGGTTCAGTATGATCTCATCCAATATTCACTTTTGTAGAAATTGAACAACTAATTATAAAATTCATAGAGATATACAAAAGACTTTAGCCAAAATAATTGGAAAGACAAGAACAAAGTTGAAGGACTAACACTGCATGATTTCAAATTTGTTACATAGCTATGGTAATCAATACAGTGTGATAATGATGTAAAGATGGATGAATAGTTTAATGGAACAGAATGAAGAATCCAGTAAGAGACCCATACATCTATGATAAGTGATTTTTCAATAACGGTGCAAATTGCACCATTCAGAAACGGTGTAATTCTGTTCAGAAAGGACAGTTTTAAAATAAATGACACTGGAATGACTGGATAGATATGTGTAAAAGAACGAACTTCAATCCGTACCTTAAATCAAATAAAAAATTAATGCAAAATGAATCACAGGCCTAACCCTATCCTTGAACCTTAAAGGATAAAGGAAGGCCTTCTTAGATAAGAAAAAGCCAAAGGAGTTCATCGCCACCAAATCAGTATTATATGAAATGTTAAAGGGTCTCCTTCAAGAAGAAAAAAAATATGAACAATAAAATGGCAATAAATATATATCCATCAACAATTACTTGAAATGCAAAAGGATTATATGCCCCAGTCAAAAAATATAGGGGTGGCTGAATGGATAACAAAACAAGACCCTTACATGTGCTGTCTACAAGAGACTCACTTCATATGGAAAGACACGTAGACTGGAAGCGGAGGGATGGAAAGAGATATGTGATGGAAAGAAAACAAAATGAAAAGCTGGGTAGCGACACTTAGTCCAGGCAAAACAGACTTTAAGGAAAGGCTACAAAAAGACACAAAGAAGGACCCAGCACTTCCTTTTTTTGGAAATCCAAAAACACTAAACTGAAAAGACATATACACCCACACTGTCATTGCCAACATTATTTACATTAGCCAAGATATGGAAGCAGCCTAAGTGTCCATCAATATATGAACTAATAAAGAAGTACTGCATGTATAAAATGGAATATGACTCAGCCATAAAAAAATAATGAAATCCTGTCACTTGCAATAACATGGATGGACCTAGAGGGCATTTTGCTAAGTTAAATAAGTCAGACAAAGATAAATACCACAATTTCATTTATATGTAGAATCTAAAAAACAAAATAAGCAAACAAGTAGAACAGAAACAGGCATAGATACAGGAACATTTTGATGGTTGCCAGATGGGAGGAGGGTTGGGGCAATGGGAGAAAAAGGTGAAGGGATTAACAAAGCAAGCCAGCAAGCAAGCAAGCAAGCAAACAAACAAACAAACAAAACAGAATCAGAGACATGGAAATAAAGGACAAACCGACAGTAACCAGAGGAGAGGGGGGAGGGGTATAACAGAGGAATGAAGGGGAAGGGGCAAGTCAAGGAACATACAGTATATAAAGGACCTATGAGTATGGACAATGGGGTGGTGATTGACTGTGGGAGCAGGGGTCGGGGGCAAGGAAAAACAAAAGGGAAAAAAGTGGGATAACTGTAACTGAACAAAAATAAAAAAAGGAATACAAATTGGTAGTTACAGAATAGTCATGAGGATATAAAATATAGCATAGAAAATATACTCAATAATATAGTAATTTGTATATGGTATCGATGGGTACTAGATTTATAGGGGTGATTACTTTGGACTGAGGAATGGAAAAAGAGCAAACTATGGAAACATAGCAGTATAAATGAGTTGTAAATGCAATATGCTAAGTGAGAGAAGCCAGGCTCAAAAATACATGATTCCATTTATATGACATTCTGGAAAAGGCAAAACTATAGAGATACAAATGAGATCAGTAGTTTCCAGGGCTGGAAGTGATAGGAAGGAGTTTCAGCAAAGAGGCCTGAAGTAATTTTTTGGTTCTGTATCTTGATCACACTAGTGGTTACATGACTAAATGCATTTGTCAAAACTCATAGAATTATTAATATAAATAAACCTCATAGCAAGCTACTAGCAAGAGCAAATTCTATGTATTTTCAATAAATATGACTTTAAAAATACTGAGCTAATGCTATGTTTAAAAGTAAAATTATTTTAATAGAATGTTAAAATAAAAGGTTTAACAGGAAATCTGGGGGGGGGTTGCAATTTCTGCTGGCAAATATTTTCAAGTTCTTTTATGCTTCAACATAATACATCAAATAAAGCAAAAGCCCAGAAGTGTCTAATGAAAACATCAATGATGGACATGACACCAGTATTAACCCTGATAAAGAGTTGACTTCAATTTGCTACTGCTTAATTAATACACAGGTATTGTTACTATTCTAGACAATTTCTTTTTCAGTGTAGAATAAGTCATCTTCCTTTCTCTTATGAATTGAGTAATGGAGTTCCGATGCACATAAAAGGCATTCATAGTTACTTGATTGAATTAGTGTAAATTCTGTTTGGATTCAAGTTTCTCAATTCATCAACCTGTGCCCTTCATGAAGAGCAACCAGACTGGAGCTCATGCTGCTCCAGGATATGCTCAGCTCCTCTGACAGCTGAACAGGAATAACATCACAGCATATCCTAACCAAGTCAAGATACACGTGCTTGCAGGCACACAGGCTAGGAAACTATGCTTATCTTAATGGAAAAGACAGAGCACTAATGGGATGAGATGCATGTGAGTAATTCCAACACTGTCAACATTATGGAAACTCCTTTTCAAAGCTTGATCTCTCACCAATCATTTCCCAAATAAGTGAAAACAGTCCAAAGGTACTCTGAAGACTTCCTTTCAATAAAGACAATTTTAAACTGACAGATGTTTGCAGTATACTGTCCCCTGCCCCCACAGCTTTGTAAATTTAATTTTTGAATAGGTTGGTCCAAATAACATAACATACAAAAAAGTATACCATGAAAAGACTTTCCCCTCTTTTTGTCCCACACCTGCCTAGATCCTATCCCCTTGAGGTAGCCCCTGTACTTTTATTCTTAACTATTCATAATCTCTTTTTAGCATGGTTGTATTTTCTTTATGCAGAAAAGCTAGAATATATATATTTCATTGTCTTGCAAACAATATTTTTCCTATTATGGTCAAAAAGGATTATTTGCATTCTTTGCGTTAATAATCAAATGCATCTCATAAATAACATTTATACCTGCTTCGCAGTTGCCTTCCAAGACTGCAACGTTGAATACATAAAACTGAGTGAAAATATTTCCAGGATCAAGTTTTTCAGCTTCTTCCATTGCTCCTCTAGCCTGAAAAAAATATTTGGTCTCTTTTACAAAAGCTTTAAGGAAGATCTTACTGTATTTTGTTAATATTATTAACATAATCACAATGGCTAACTTATACTCATAATAAAAAGACCTTTTCAACTTGTTTCATATGCAGGTAACAGGAAGCCATGTTCCTCTTCAGTTTAGGAAATTCCTCATCCATTTGATCTGATTCATAGACTCTCAAGGAATAGTAGTACCAGTTTAGGGCCTCAAGATAATTTTGGATCTAAAGTTTGAAAAGAAATAACAAAATCACATAGATATCTCTACATTTGGCTCTAATATTTCCAAGTTACCTCTAGAAACAGAGAAATGATATTGTTTTCTTTCTTTCTTTTAATGAAAGAACCTAAGAAACTTCCATCATTTATTGTTTATATACTTTTCATTTATTTTTTATTTTTATTGTTGACACTATTACAGATGTCCCCAATCCCTGCCCCCCTGCTTTGCCCACCCCCACTAGCCCCACCCCCCTTCCCTCTGGCCATCAGCACACTGTTGTCTGTGTCTGTGGTTCATTAGTATCTGTTCTTTGGCTGATCCCTTCCTCTTCTTTCATCCAGTCCCCCTCCCATCTGACAGCTGTCAGTCTGCTCCATGGACTGTCCATGCCTCTGTTTCTATTTTGTTCAGTTTATTTTGTTCATTAAATTTCACATATAAGTGAGATCATATGGTATTTGTCTTTCTCTGACTGGCTGGTGTGGCTCAATCCACTGAGTTGCACCAGTGAGGGCTGTTTTTACTTTTGAGGCACTAAAAATTTCAATGATAACAAGCTAATGGGAAAAATCTAACAGAAATAACTTGGATGACTTTTAAGCTAAGAAAATTCAGGTTGCTCATGCACATCAAGGTAAGGTATAGAATGAGTCCCTTGTAAATGTGAAACAAGAAGCTTCACATTTTTTCAGGGAATAACAGGTGTCATTAGGATCTAAAAGGAATAAGACACTCTTCAACTAGAAACAACTATGCTGCGTAAGTATAGCAGTGCCTATGACTATTTAGAGTTAAGATTACATTCTACTCTGGCTGTTGGAAGTGAGAGTTTAAAAATTATTCTGCAAGACCTGAAAGTGAGGAAAAAGAAAAAGACTCAATAGGAGAAGGGATTCTAAAGTACTTTTTTCATCAACTGAGTGAGGAAATACAGGATATAAAGAAAGAAAATAAAAAAATACCATATGATCTTACCTTTAATAGGAAGCTAAACAACAAAACAAACAAGCGAGCAAAATAAAAACAAAGACACTGAAATAGAGAACAGGGGGACAGAGACCAGAGGGGAGAGGGGAGGGAATTTAAGGGGAAAAAAGGGGAGGGATTTAGAGGAACAAGTATAAAGGGCACAGGGACAATAACTAACGGGGGTGGAAATGGGAGGGAGGTGGTAAGCACGGGGCGGGGTGGGCTGGGATGGGAGAAATAGACAGAAAACTGTACTTGAAAAATAATTAAATTTTAAAAAAGAGAAAAAATAATTTTTGCTCTCAAAGAAAAGCAAGAATACTATTCTATTTTGCAGTAGCTAACCTTAAGGTATAGAGTAAGGCATTTTGATATAGATATACACTGTGAAATGTTCACCACAATCAAGCTATCTCACCTAGTTATCTTTTTTTGTGGTGAAAACACAAGTTTACTTCCTGAGCAAACTTCAATTATGTAGTACATTACATAACTACAGATGCCATACATTATATTAGGTCTCTGAAAATTTTTCATGTAATAACTTTAAAGTTTGTATTCTTGGACTAATATATACCCAATTTCCCCAACCACCAAACCCTGGTAACCACCATTCTACACTGTTTCTATGAGTTTGATTCTTGCAAATTCCACACAGACCTGCGATCATACAATATTTGTCTTTCTCTGTCTGGCTTACTTCACTTAGCATGTCTTCCAGGTTCATTCACGTTGTCACAGATGGCAGGTATTTCTGTTTAGATTATTGTGGGTAGTATGGTCATTTTAACAACATTAACTTTTCCAATCCAGTCACATGGGATATCTTTCCACTTTTTGTGCCTTCTTCAACTTCTCTCATCAATGTCATAATTTTCATTGTACAAATATTTTATCTTCTGGGTTAAGTTTATTTCTAACTAGTTGTTTTAGATACTATTATAAATTGGATTGTTTACTTGGTTTCTTTTTTGGATAGTTCACTGTTAGCATATAAAAATACAACTGATTTCTGTATGTTGATGCTGTATCCTATAACTTGACTGAATTTGTATGTCTGCTCTAACAGAATTTTTGGTGGGGTCTTAAGGTGTTCTATATATACGATCTTGTGATTTGCAAACAGAGACAATTCTATTACTGCTTCCTTTCCGATCTAGATGCCTAATTGCTCTGGCTAGAATGTTCAGTACTTTTGTTGACTAGAAGGGTGAGAAAAAGCATCCTTGTCTTCTCAATCTTTCAGCAAAAGCTTTCAGTTTTTTACTGTTGACTATATTTTCATTCCATGTTGTCCAGATGAGTACTCTGCTAAAAACTGGAGGAGGACTTGCAGATTGCTGGGGTTCTCTTTCTGTGCTAAGCTCTCCCCTCTGTGATTCTGTTCTGTGAGCTTTAGCTGCTTCGGTCTCCAGACTCTCAGCACCATCTCCTCAAATCAGAAAGCCTGCCAGAATCCCTTTCAGTTCCTCTTCTTAACACTACAGCCTGGAAACTCAAGGTAGTAAGCTGCACAACTACAGTGCTCACCTTGTTTGTTTCCTGTCTCCCAGAGATCATTCTCTGTCGGACAGCCAATGTCTTTTTAAAAATGTCTTTTTTTTTCCAAATTGGGGGGGTGAGTGTTTAGGCAAAGACATAAATCTGGTCTCTATTACTTCCTGAAGTGCAAATCCAATATAACTTTTTAAAAACAGTACATCCCCTTTTTCCACACATACACAAATGCACACAAAGATTAAAAGGAAGTATATGAAAATTTTACAAGTGATTAGATTACAAATAACTACTTAAAAAACTTATCTGTCATTTAAAATTTTTCTACTGTAAAGCTGGATTGGTTTGGAAAGAAAAAATATATTACTACTTTTTTTGTATCTTTTTAATTGCACCACAAGTTTTGGAAGGTTTCCTTTGGAGCAGTTTTAGATTCACAGCAAAATTGAGATGAATGTAGAGAGATCTGCTATGAACCCCCTGCCCCTACACATGCATAGCCTCTCCCACTATCAAAAACCTGCACTGGAGCAGTACATTTGAACTTAAAATGACACATTACAATCACCCAAAGTCTCTACTTTTCATCAGGGTTCACACTTGATGTTGCATTTCCTGTAGATTCAGACAAATGTGTAATGATATATATCTGCCACTATAATATCATTCAAAGTATTTTTCACTACCCTAAAAATACTATGCTCCACACCACAATTTTTAAAAGGAATGAAACCCTCTCAGAGTTTCTCATTCCCCATGTTAAAATAAGTTACTTTCCTATAGTTTAATATCCATGGTGTCATTTTCCTACATTGTAAAGCCTCAATGGGGACAAATCATGTGTTAGTATTTAAATATTTTACTTATTTATTTTTAGAGAAAGGGATAGGGAAGGAGAAAGAGAGGACAAGAAACATCAATGTGTGGTTGCCTCTCATGTGTCCCATACTGGGGACTTGGCCTGCAACCCAGGCATGTGCCCTGACTGGGAATTGAACCAGCTACCCTTTGTTTCACAAGCCCGTGCTCAATCCACTGAGCTACACCAGCCAGGGCATGTGTTAGTATTTAAAAATATTCTTGTCTATAAAGTACAGTATTAGGAAATAGAGTAGCCAAAGAACTTATACATATGACCCATGGACATGAACAATGGTGGGGGGATTGCCTGAGGGAATAGAGGGTACTGGGTGGAAGGGAACAAAGAGAGAAAATTAGGACAACTGTAATAGCATAATCAATAAAATATAATTTATAAAAACATAAAATAAATTCTTCTTCAATGCCCATTAACACGCTACTTTATGAATATTTAATAAATAGATTATTAAAGTATTTGATGCTCTATGATTTTTATAGTCAACACACTGTTTTCTTTGTTGGGGTTGAGGGAGAATATAAAGAATAAAAAGACATTATTCCCAAACCTGAAAAGAATGGGAACCTTTCTTCCACAGAAGGTTGTGTAAATATCCTATTAATCCTGTCGACAATTTTCTTCCTGTTTGCAGACCTGAAAAAAGAAAAAAAAAACTCTCAAGATCTAGAATCAAGAATCAAGTTATATTACATTAAATAAAACAGCTAAGTATATACAGAACCTATAATATTTAAGTAATGGCTACAAATACAATCGCATTCAGACAGCTGTCATCATCAATTTTAGGTTTACTAGCAAAATTGATTATACGATACAGTCAAGAGTTTGGTAGAATTACAGTGATTCACCAATCAATCTGTTATAGTTTTCCAGCCTAATCTCTCTTTAACATCTTTCCCATGTTCCAAATTTGATCATCATCTGGTGCCTTAATGTTATTGTGAATGAATAGGCAGCAATGCTAGAAATCATTACTAAGAAATGTTTATTGTGTACTAACCAGATCAGATAAAGTTCACAAGAAAGGCCAATTATACCTTAAAGCCTTTGTAGAATACTTTAAGACAATCTTTACACATAAACTTTATTACTTTAAATTGTAACTTGTGTCTGATTGTTTCTGGTCTAGACATTTACAGAGTTCAAATATATTAGCACACATTAAGGAAAACTTTAAAATAATAATACAATTCCATACCCACTTCTCTTTCACCCCTTTAGCACTATCAATTTCCACAAAGACTTGATTAGGAGACAGAGTTTCCAACTCCTCTCAAGCCTAGTCAGCAGATGTAGTTTGTTCCGGGATTTAGTTAAAAATACCCACAGGAGAGTAAAAATGTACTTAATGTAGCTACTTGAAATGTTAAAATATTTTGAAAGTATAAGTGTATAATCAGATATCACAATGAAACTAAGATTCCCTAACTATAATCTGAGGAAATTAGTTATTCTGAATAACCAAGTTTTCTAGTTGACTATTTACTTTAACTAAACATAAAACATTTTTCTTTTAAAAAGTCTAAATCATTTCATTAAGTTAATTTTTCTAAAATTATGCTTTACCCATTGTATTTTTCTAAATATACTTTCTAGTTTCTAAAGCACAATTTAACCTTTGCTTGACCATTCAAAGTCAACAACACTAACAAGTACTGCATTTTATTGTACTATTAATAAATCACAGTGATGTCTTTGGTAACTATTATAGAGTATAGTACAGATTATTATATTTTTTTAATGTTCGGAACTTGAAAATAAAATTTGTAGAGTTTTTCTTCTTACCTTGTTGTCAGCTTAGCCGTATATTTCCCTGTACGCCCTTTCACTCTTTTAAATATACTACCATTAAAATGCTAAGTGTTGAATAAACCTGCTTATTAAAGCTCATGAAATGACCAAGCTTATTAAATTGTGTCCATGAACATGGACAATGGTGTGGGGATTGACTGTGGGAGTGGGGGGGTGGGCTGGGTGGTGAGGGCAAAGGGGGAAAAATTGGGACAACTGTACTAGAACAATAAAAATAAAAATAAACATTTAGTGACTTTATATATATTCGCAGAGTTGGAAGAAATTTGGGTGAGAATTTTCTAAGAAAGGGATCATACTATCTGTGCTCTTCAGGATATAGTGTTCCACAGAGAGATGGGGGATCAGGGAATGCTTAGATTTGGCTCTACAGCAGCTGCCTCTGCCTTAATCAGAGCAACTCCAGAGTACTTTATGTGAGACAGGGTTCACATAAGAGTGTGTCACAAAAGGATACTGCTGCTAAAAAAAAGTAAAAAAAAAAAAAACGGGAATTGTAGTTCACAAGCTTTATTTCATAGTTGGAAAAAAACAAGATCTAGTGATACAATTGACTTGCCCGAAAGCGCACAGCAAATTTGAGATCACACTGGAAACGTGAAATTGGGTTTCTAACATCACAATTTTCCACCATACATGAGTTTTAAGTTCAAAGGTTTGGTTTTGTGGATGCCTTGATATTTTTGCTGATTGTCTCATTCTAGCTTGCCAAACAAGTGGAATCTGGATAGGTGAGGTGTTATAGTTAAAGGTTATTAGGGAGAATAAAGAGGAGTGAGAAAAAGGAAAAAAGAATCTGTTGACCTGAGTATTTTGCTACTGTTCCCTGGAATTACATGCATATTAACACTAAACTAACACTAAATTAACACTACAAACTAAAACATCTGTAGAAATCCCACTGACCTATAATGATTTCTTCAACCTTCTCCTTGGCAAGCTCATCTTCCTTCCTCCGTAGAAGTATTTCAATTTGGAACAGTAAAGCTTTGCCAACATTTTCCGATGATCCAAAATGATCACAGATGATCTTCAGGAAATGAAACCCAACAAATTCTCTGTTTAATGAAACAAAATTATAAGTGGTGTGAATAGAACAGTTATTTTTTTAATCAGTAGGACTAAACTTTATTTGAATATGAGTAAAAGAGGCAATAGAAAATTAAACCTGAGCTTAGGTAATATTACTAAATGTCTAAATATGCCTACTTGCCAAAATGAAACTTTTAATTCAATTTCTGTTTAATTTATTAAGCCACAAATATTTTCTTTTCATGAACACCTATAGTCAGATAATCATCTCTTTCCTAATGTCTTATTTTTTTTACCAAAAATGATGCTACTTTATAACAATTGCTTTATGAGCAATGTAAAAAGACACATGAACATTAGAAATTCACCAGTCAGGGACTTCCGCCAAGATGGAGGCATAGGTGGAAACACTCTGCCTTCTCTCACAACCAAGCTTAAAAACAACAAAGTTTTAGCAACAAAAACGCAGCCAAACCACAGAAAACTGAACTATATGGAAGTCTGACAACAACAAACCATTCAGCCAAACTGGTAAGAGGGGCAGAGCCAGCAGCAGACTGGGGTCGGGCAGGAAAGATCCACCGGATCAACCCGGGCGCGTGACCCAGGCACGCAGGCAGTGGGCGGATCCCAGGTGTGGAGTAGCAGCGGGTGGACCCACTGAGGGCAGATCGCGGTCACATATTCGTGCACAGATAACCGGCAAAGGAGTGAGAAGTGAGACTGAGACAGACCACACAGGCCCCAGTGGCGGGAAGCAGCAGAGGGGACCGCCATTTTCCCTCTCTGACCCCGCCCCCACATACAGTGTCACAAATCAGCCACCTGGGTAGCCCCACCCTGGTGAACACCCAAGGCTCTGCTCCTCATACTTAACAGGTGTGAACAGAGCAAAACATTATGGCTCAAGAAGAACAGCTTAAAGCCCCAGAGCCAATAACTCTAAGCGACCAAGAAATAGCCAACCTAACAGATGCACAGTTCGAAACACTGGTGATCAGGATGTTCACAGAACTGGTTGATTTTAGTCACAAATGAGAGGAACATATGAAGGCTAAACTAATTGAAGGGAAATGCATAGGAAACCAGTAGTGATGGGAAGGAAATTGGGACTAAAATCAAAGGAGTGGACCGGAAGGAAGAAAAAAATGACCAAACAGAAAAGGATGAAGAAACATGAATTCAAAAAAATGAGGAGAGGCTTAGGAAACTCCAGAACATCTTTAAACATTCCAACATCCGAATTATAGGGGTACCACAAGGGGAAGAGTGGAAAATTTATTTGAACAAATAATTAAGGAGAACTTCCCCAATCTGGCAAAGGAAATAGACTTCCGAGAAATCCAGGAAGCTCAGAGAGTCCCCAAAGAACTTGGACCCAAGAAGGAATACACCAAGGCATATCATCATTATATTAGCCAAGATTAAAATGAAGGAGAGAATCCTAGAAGCAGCAAGAGATAAGGGTCAGTCACCTACAAAGGAGCTCCCATCAAACTGTCAGCTGATTTCTCAAAAGAGACCTTACAGGCAAGAAGGGGCTGGAAAGAAGTATTCCAAGTCATGAAATCCAAAGACCTACACCCGAGATTGCTCTATCCAGCAAAGCTTTCATTTAGAATGGAAGGACAGATAAAGTGCTTCTCAGATAAGACCAAATTCAAGAAGTTCATCATCACCAAGCCCTTATTATATGAAATGTTAAAGGGACTTCTCTAAGAAAAAGAAGATAAAAAGGATGAACAGTGAAAGGACAGCAAACTCACAGTTATTAACAACCACACCTAAAACGAAAGCAAACTAAGAGGACAGCTAGATGAGGAGCAGAACCATAGAAATGAAGATCAAATGGAGGGTTAGCAACAGGGGAGTGGGAGAAGGAGAAGGGGGGAGGAGGTACAGAATATAAGTAGCACAGATGGTAGGTAGAAAATAGATAGGGGAGGGCAAGAATACTATGGGAAATATAGAATCTAAAGAACTTGAGACACGTGGTCATAAACTAAAGAGGAGGAATGGTGGGGGAGGGTGTGCAGGGTGGAGGGGAATGAAGGTGGGAAATAGAACAAATGTAATGGCATAATCAATAAAATATATTTTTAAAAAATTCACCAGTCACTTTGTGATGAGAACTTTTAGAATCTACTCTCTTAGCAACATTCAAATACACCAATCAGCCATGTTAATTATAGTGACCATGTTGTACACTACATCTCTAGTACTTATTTATTTATCTTGTAACTGAAGTCTGTACCTTTTGACTACCTTCTTGGGTCATTATGAAAAGAAAATTAAGAAAACAATTCACATAAAATGATATAAAAATATTTAACCAAGGAGCTGGAGGACTTAGTAAAAATTGTAAGACACTTTTCAACAAAATTAACAAAGACATAAATAAATGGAAAGACATTTGATTCCACACTCATGGATTGGAAGACTTAAAATGATTAAGATGTGAATACTATAAAAAGTGATCTACAGATTTCATGCAATCCTTATCAAAATCCCAATGATGTTTTCTGCAGGAAAAGAAAAATTCATCCTAAAATTTACATGGAATCTCAAGGGACTCTGAATAGCTAAAACAGTTCTGAAAAAAGAAGAACAGAGCTGGAGGACTCACATTACCTGATTCCATAACTTACTATAAAGACATAGTAATCAAAACAATGTGGTACTAGCACAAAGAAAGACATACAGGGCAGTGAACTATAGAACCCAGTGATAAACTCTTGCATATATGGTCAAATGATTTTCGACAAGAATATCAAGACCTTCAATGGGAAAAGTCAGTCTTCTAAACAAATAATAGTAGGAAAACAAGATATCACACACAAAAGAATAAAGTTCGACTTCTACCTTCATACCATATACAAAAAAACTAACTCAAAGTGGTCCATAACCCAAACATAAGACCTGAAACTATAAAACACCAGAAGAAAAAGTGGGAAATCTTCATGACATTAGACTTGGCAGTGATTTCTTAGATGTGACACCAAAAGAACAGAAAACAAAAGAAAAATACATAAACTGGATTTCCTGAAAGAATTTTAAATGTGCATCAGAAGACGCCATCAACAAAGTAAAAAGGTGATCCACAATATTGGATAAAATAGCTGTAAATCATATATATGATAAGGGATTAATATCCAGGATACACAGAGAACCACACAAGAAGGCAAGTAATTCAATTTAAAAAATGGGCAGAGGACTTGAATAGACATTTCCCCAAACAAGCTATATAAATGGCCAAAACTCACATGAAAAGATGACCAATCATTAGTCATTAGGAAAATACATATCAAAACTGCACGTGATACCACCTCACACCCATTAGAATGTAAAAAAAAAAAATTAAAGACCCAGAAAAGAACAAGAGTTGGCAAAGACATGGAGAAACTGGAACCTTTGTGCACTATTGGTAAGGATGTAAAATGGTACATTCACTATGAAAACAGTAGGACAGTTCCTGAAAAAATCAGTAATACAATTATCATGGTATCTAGCAAGTCCACTTCTAGGTATTTACCTACCACAAAGCAGGTTCGCAAAGAGATTTTTTTACACCCAGTTCATAGCAGCATTATTCACAACAGCTAAAATTCACATGTATTATATCATCCATTGGTGGTTGAATGGATAAGCAATATGTGGTGTATACATACAATGGAATGTTCTTCAGCCTTTAAAGGGAAGGAAATTCTGACACAAGCTGCAACATGGATAAACCTTGAAAACATCATGCTAAGTGAAATAAGCCAGTCACAAAAACACAAATACAGTATAATTCCACTTATATGAGGTACCTTACACTAGTCGAATTCATAGAGGCAGAAAGCAGAATGGTAGTTGCCAGGGCTGGAAGAAGGGGGAAATAGGGAGTTACTGTACAATGGGTACAGTTTCAGAAATGCATTGTGGTGATGTTTGCTGAATATGAATGTACTTAATATCACTGAAGTATATTTTATGGTGTGTACTGTACCACCAAAAAAACTGAAGTTTTTCATGGAAAACAGGGATGCATGTTTATTGATATATTATCTGTGGCTGCTTTTTCACTGTAACAGCAGAACTGAGGAATTGTGACAGAAACTGTGCAGCCCCCAAATCTAAAATATATACTATCATCCTGACTGGTGTGGCTCAGTGGATTGAGTGCTGGCCTGTGAACCAAAGGGGTGACAGTTTGATTCCCAGTCAGGGCACATGCCTGGGTTGCAAGTCAGGCCCCCAGTAGGGGTGTACAAGAGGCAACTACGCATTCATGTTTCTCTCCCTTTCTTTCCTCCCTTCCTTCCCCTCTGTCTAAAAATAAAAAAATAACATCTTAAAAAAATAAAATATATACTATCTTGTCCTTTAAAAAGTATGTCACTGTGAATTAGATGAAGACAGGTGGAGACAGATTAGATAAGACAGGTATACTGTCTTATCTGAACATAAGATGAACTAAAGGAACAGTTAAACACATTGCATGATAGAACTAAAATTCACAAAGATCAGAACATCTGAAAAAATAAGCTGTAAAATTAGGTTGAAACTTAATGGCTTAAAATATGTGTGAGATAATTGAAAACATATATAGGTTTCTACCCCACGGGTCCTGACACAGAGCTCCTAAAACCCTTGTAAATTCCAAAGTGATAAGAGCACTAGGAGCATCTTTTTTCCTACTGAGGTGACTCTGGGTGGGCTCCTGGGTGGAGGCTAGTCACCAGAAAGACCAAGATGTAAGTAGAAACAGAATTTTCAACTTCACCCCCACATCCTCCAGAGAGAAGGACTGGAAATGGAATTAACAATTGTTCACACCTACATAAGGAAGCCTCCATAAATTCCAATAGTGTGGGGTTCAAAGAGCTTCCAGGCTAGTGAACACATTCACACTGGGAGGACTACACACCCCAACTCCATGAGGACAGAAGTTCCTGCATTTGGAACCCTCCCAGACCTCGCCCTATGTATGTCTTCATCTGGCTGTTCACCTGAATCCTTTATCATGTTCTTTAATGAACTGGTCAATGTGTTTCTCTGAGTTCTGTGAGTCACTCTAGCAAATTACTCAAACCCAAGCAGGGGGTTGTTGGAACCTCTGATCTACATAGCCAGTAGGCCAGAAACCTGGGCTTGCAACTGGTGTCTGAAGTATGTTGGGGTGGTGGTGGTGGGGAGACTGAGCCCTTACTTAACCTTGTGGGATCTGACATTATGTCCAAGTAGACAGTGTCAGAATAGAGTCAAATTGTAGAATACCCAGTTGGTGTCACGGAGAATTGCTTGGTGTACACAAAAACCTCCACACATTTGGTGACCGGAAGTAAAACATTTTGTGTAAGCAGTAAAGGAGACTCACAGGGAAAAATATGTATATAGGAGAAAAACACACAGTAGGGAAGAACTAGGTTTTCCCCTACTGTGTAATATGTATAAATATGTAGAGATTACTGGAAATACGTATAAATTCTATGTGAGGGAGAATTTTATATTTCATCTTTCTTAAAAATATAATAATGAAAATCTCTTCCACAGGTATTCCAGAAGAGGCTGAGTGGCTTTTCACCCAAGAAGCCATGTACAAGTAGGAGACTGGTCTACAACAATGGTTGGCAAGCTATAGCCTGCAGACCTAATTCAACCAGCCATCTGTTTTTATAGGCAAAGTTTTCTTTTGTAAATAAAGCCACTTTCATTAATTTATAGATTGTTTACAGCTGTTTTCACATTACAACAACAGATTAAGTAAGTGTGATAGACTTGACAACATTTACTACCTGGTCCTTTACAGAAAATGTTTACTGATCCCTGATCTAAAATAGTGGCTTTCAGAACTCCCTGGAGATCTAGTAAGAATACAGAGACCTGCGCTTGTTGGTGTAAGGTTGAGCCTGGTCTCTTTATTTTTATCAAGTTCCTTAGTGATTATATTTTTAACAGCTTTATTGAAGTATAAGCCACATATCATATAATTTATCCATTTAAAGACTAGAAATTCATTGGTTTTAATTTATTTTTTAAATTTTTATTTAATTATTTTTCAAGTACAGTTTTTGCCTTTTAGTATATCCACAGTTATACAACCACCACCCAATCAATTTTAGAACATTTACATCACACCAAAAAGAAACCCTAAGCCCATTAGCAGTTACTCCCCATTTTCCCCAATCTCTCACAGCCTTAGCAAACACTAATCTAGTTTGTGTCTGTATAAATGTACCTATTCTAAAAATATCATATAAGTGAAATGATATAATATAGGGTCTTCGTAGCTGGCTTCTTCCACTTAGCATAATGTTTTTAAGGTTCATCCATGTTACAGGGGTGTTCAACCTGTGGCCCGCAGGCCGCATGCAGCTCAGGATGGCTATAAATGTGGCCCAACACAAAATCATAAATTTGCTTCAATCATTATGAGACTTTTTTTGGTGATTACCAGTTGAAATGTATTTAATGTGTGGCCCAAGGCAACTCTTCTTCCAGTGTGGACCAGAGACATTAGAAGTTGGACACCCCTGTCATTACTCTGTTTATTTTTATTGACAACTAATATTCCATGGTATGTATGGATAAACTGTGTTTTGTTTATCTACTCATCAGTTAATAGAAATTTTGGTTGATTCCACATTTTAGTATTAAGAATAATGTTGCTAAAAGCCATGTGGTAAGGAACTATCTAACTTATTGATGAACTAACAGACTGTTTCCAAAGCTGCTGCACCATTTTACGTTCCCACCAGCAGTGTTATGAGGGTTCCAATTTCGCCACATCCTTGCTAGTATCTGTTATTACCTATCTTGTTGATTCTAGCCATCCTAGCAGGTGTGAAGTGGTTTCTCATTGTGGTTTTGATTTGCATTTCCCTGATGGCTAATGATGTTGAGCATCTTTTGAAGTGTTCACTTCCCAGAAATTCTGATGCAACTGATGTTTGAGAAGCATTAAGAGGTCTGTAAGTACTTTAAGGTCCCTTTTGACATTAATGATCCCATAAAGATAGTGCCAGAGAGGTATATCACTCGAGGACTATACTTTGCTCACACCCTCCTGTTCCACCTGACACTGACCTGCAGGTTAACCTCTTCTAACTCCTATTTGATAAAGCCGTGCCTATCTTCTTTTTTCATTTTATTTTTTAAAAATTTAAAATAAATTTTTTAAATTACCTATTAATTGTTTAAAGCAACCAAAAAGTTCCATTTTCTAATTTGATCAGCACAATGGCAAATATTGTGCTCCGTGGATATGGATGGAAATAGGTAGAAAGACATAGATTCAATCCGTGTACATGGAAACCTTAGAAACATGTTAGTCTTTAAAGAAAATCAATTCTTCTGTACCTTCCATGATCCATCAGCAGTTTAGCAATGCTCAGACAGAAGTCTAAAGACACGTCAAAATGCAGTACACTTCTGACAGCTAACAAAGAGAAAAAATAATCATGTCAGTTTCATTTTGAAGCAAGCTTAGCTATTTTCAATAATTTTTCTCTGCTCAAAATCTACTTTCTAAATGTTTGCCACATACCATGTCTTGCCTAAAAATATATCAACATCTTTTTATGACATAAAAAATACAATGCTAGAGAGTGCAATGAAACAGCCACCCTTAAATAGATGACAAAGTAGCCTGGTACCATTGTTTTGAAAAGCAATTTGGCAATATTATATGCTAAGAACACAGTGGTTAAAAGCTTGGGATATGAAATCAGAAAAATGTATACTTGAAATCACTTGCAACCCATATTGCCATAAGCAAGTTACTTAGATTTTGCTGTACCTCAGTTTTGTCATCTGTAAAATGGGGACTAGATCACTAATCTGTTGAGGTGATTGAGAGGGTTACATGAGATTATATATGTAAACTACACAGCAAAGTACCTGGTACTTAGTAAGCATTCAATAAGTGATAGATGCTATTATTATTATTATTATTATTATTATTCCCTGTACCTCAGAAATATTTCTGAAAAGTCACCTGGAATAAATATAGGAAAATGTTTATGAACAAAGATATTAAAAGCAGTGTAGATTATAACAAAAGGAAATATACTGAGTCCACACTATAGGGCCAGGCACTGTGTGCTTAGTGCTGGCCGGCAGTGGACAAAACACAAAATCTCTGCTGTCAAGGTGTTTATATATTCCAGTAAATGGTGGATGACAGATATTTTTAGTATTTACCAAAAACTTCCTTAATGGGAATGTGCTATCTTTTCATAATTTAAAGAACTGTATGTATTTTTAATTTTTTTCTCTACAATAAAGAAATATCAGTGAAATTCTAAGGCCAGCATTTAGGTTGCTTATTCTAAGAATAAAGTACTTTCGCTAGCAAAGAAATGAATAAAGACAATAAAAATGCAAGTTTCATACATTCTCTCAATGCAACAAAGTAAAAGATAATTTTATTATTTTAAACTATGGAAAACTTAGAGTCAGGGAAGCCTCCTAATTTGTAATCTGACACTGCAACCTCATTACTCTGAATATTAACAATATCTAGATTGAAAGACAAATACCATATGATCTCACCTTTAACAGGAAGCTAAACAACAAAACAAACAAGCAAGCAGAATAAAAACAAAGACACTGAAATAGAGAACAAGGGGGCAGTGACCAGAGGGGAGAGGGAAGGGAATTTAAGGGGGGGAAAAGGGGGAGGGATTTGGAGGAACAAGAATGAAGGACACAGGGATGAGGACTGGGGGGGAGGAAATGGGAGGGAGGTGGGGAGCACGGGGTGGGGGGGGACTGGGATGGGAGAAATAGACAAAAAACTGTACTTGAAAAATAACAATAAAATTTAAAAAAAGAAAAATAATTAAATAAAAATAAAAAAAGAAAAATAAATAAATTGGTTTTGTTGAAACAGAAAAAAAAACAATATCTAGATTGAGTTAAGTAAAACAATCTGGGAATAAAGAATAATTTCACTTTAAACTCAGCTTTTTATATGCACTTTGATAAAAACTGTAATGGGGAAATCTAGTACAAATTAAACAACTTTACACTAGGTAACTCCAATAATCGCTCTGGTCTTTCTACATTGCACTAGTTTGAGTAAGTCTGTTCCTTTAATTGGTTAGTTGGTTTGTTTATTCCCCTAGTGTAAAAAAGTGGAGTTGTCTTCCTCGTTGCTAGCATTTTTAAAACTTTGCATACTGAGATGACAACCTAGAGATGTTAACAACCTAGAGATGCAGAATCCTCTGTACATCTCAGCTTCTGAGGTCTCGTAGTGACTGGGTAAGATTCAAGACGTCACAGAAAGTTTCAGTAGTACTAAATTATCACTAAATTTAGAGATACATCCAAATTTGATTATTGTCCTACTTATTGCAAATTATTGTAATAAGTAGGTTGTAATTGTTGTCATAAGTAGGTTCAGTGTCCCAATTGGGGATTGAACCCACAACCTAGGTATGTGACCTGACTGGGTATCGAATCCACAAACTTTTTGTGTACAGGATGATACTCCAAGCAACTGAGCTACCTGGCCAGGGCCTGATAGCTTTTATTCAGTTTTTTTTACTACCTATTAAATTTGCTATTATTCTCTCCTTTCTCTTTTTCTTCCTGGATAACAATCTTCTCCCTTTCTTATGTAATCAATTTCCTTTTCGGTCACCATCAAATTATACTACGAAAGATGTCATGTTCAACAAATTGGTGATTAAATTTCAAAATTGCACTTTACACAGAGAGACAATACCTTCCATGAGTTCTTCATTAACTATTTTGCTCTTCATGAGGATTTTGATCTTCAAGTAAATCCCAGCTGAGTTTAAATGTTCCTATTTTAAACAGAGAAATCATGATTATTTTAAAACTGTGGAATGTAAAAGACAATTTTGAAGTAATTGCCTGTTTTATTCAACTACAGCAGGATGACTCATGATCAAAGGAAATCAAAATTACAAAAGATCAGGTCATAACATTCAGTCTATCCCTGAGGACATTTTCTGATATTTTATTCAATCTAAATGGAATGAAACAAGAAAAAGAACATGTAAACATTTCCGCTGAGTGGCAAGCATTTAAATGGCAAAGTCAATACTTCAACTGTGTGAATATAAGGCCATATCCATATTGTTGTCTTGGTAAGCAAAACCTTAAACATCAATTAGAATTGGGTTTGTTTTTGAGACTTTAATAAGAATGACCATACTCTGCAAACAATGGTTGAAAAAACAGAAAACATATTGTCTTTCCTATAGGATATGCCTGTCATATTTACTATTCATAACAATGTACTCTGAATGGTTTTTCCAAGTCCTGTTAGCTGGCCTTAAGCCATCTGTGATCTCTACCCTGGTTCCACTTTTGCCTGACAGGGCACATCTTTAAACAGCTGGCTAAGATTAAAAGTGCAGTGTAGATCCACAGAACTTTTCTCTCTACAAAACCAATTATCCTCTATATGAACATTGTACTCATTAAATCCAAACTCTGAAAATGATTATAGCCATTCATGTATGAGATGTCTTAAGAATGGAAAGTTAGAGAAAGTAAACACTGGTATTAAAAGGTTTTGCAAATGCAGATGACATTAATACAAAGAATAAATTAAGGTTGCAAATGTGAATCTATTCCATTACTGCTTTTCGTAATGGGCATGCTGAAATATGTCTTAGGCTCAATTCCACCTTACCTTCAGAATATACAGGTCTTCCAGACCTTGGTGGGATGTTTTCCTTCCATCTATGATACTCCCACAAGTTAATATTATGTTTTTCTCTTCTATTTCATTATCAAACAACTCCAGAGAATGGAGAGTACTTGGCTTTTATTGTATCATCTATTCACTTCCATGAATATTCACACTGTATTGTCTATCCTTACTATGTCTTGAAACTAAGCTTTCAAAACACATAACTAAGTACCCGTTAAATCCATCAGCTTTCTCCCTGCAATCAATCTGCTTGTGCTATCTGTTAATTTTTTCTCACTATTGTTTCTCACTCTTCTTCCTTAGATTTTTGTTTGCTTTTTTTCTTTCTACCAAATAGTTATTGGAAAACAGAATCCAGGTATAACAAATTCTAAGGCATGTGCTGTGAATGCTGTTTTGCAGATAAGGAACCTGAGGCCTACATAAAGTAACTCACCCATAGACACACAATTGCTAAGCACTAGCAATGAAATTTGAATTTGGGTCTCTCTGACTCTAAAGACCATAAATGGCTGCCTCCCTTGAGGCTCTTTCTACCCTTGACCTTCCCATCCCTATACTGTTTGGTTCTCCTGCAAGCTCTAAAGACAACTTTTCCATGATTTAGTGTGAAGTGTATCACAAACACACACAATTATAGAAAATATGTATGTATAATTTACAGAATAGTGATGAAACAAACACCCATATTATTCACCACATAAGAAACAGAACACTATCAGCACATTAGAGGCCTCCAATCTACCCTTGCCCACTTGCATCCTCCTCACTTCACCACAGGGTAAACACCACCTTGAATTTTGTGCAGTTAATTTCCTTGCTCTTCTTTATATACTCAATATATTGTTTCATTTTGCCTGCATTTAAACTTCATTCAAACAATCATAATGTATACAAATGCTCCTGTGACTTGCTTCTTTCATGATCATGATTTTAAAATTCATTTATGTTGCTGCATGAAACTAATGTATTTGTTTTCATTACTCTGCAATGTGGTCCTCAAAGTGTATTCCCTTTGTCTACATCACCTGGAAACATGTTAGATATGCAGACCTCACCAGTCCTACTGAATCAACAGTGTGGTGATTGCTGGGGGGGAGTGGGGTATAAGGGGACGAAAAGATAATGTAAAAAAATACAATAAAATTCAATAAAATAAAAAAAGAATTAAAAAAAAGAAACTCTGCAGGTGGGGCCCAGCAAATAAAGTGTGTGTATGGGGGGGGTAGAAAAATGTGTAAAATCATTATTATTGATTTGCATTATGGAAAGTTTACATTTCAACATAAATTCCAGTACCTGTTTAGTAAGGCAATAAGGAAAGTGTGTTTTAACAGGCATTCTAGTTAATACTTATAAATGCTAAAGTTTGCAAATGACTATTCTATACTATTCCATTGTATTACAGTTTATTTACCAGGTCTACTTTGGACATGAGTTGCTTTCAACTCAATTGCTATTATGAACAATCCAGGCATCAGCTTTATGTACATTTCTCCTAGTATTCAGTATATTCAATTCCCTCATTAAGTAAAACATATTGATCCTAACTGAATCTCCCTAAATGGTCACGGGCCTGACTATCAATATTCCTCATCAGAGAGTGTAGGGGTACATATGCATGTACTTTCATATATATGTATATACATAGGTACGCATGTTCGTATGAGCATGAGATGAAAGAAAACAACTGGTATTGGTTATTTCCAGGTTCTGTCCAATTTACTCTGCTTAAGAAGGCAAGATAGTGTTCGTAACATCAATCTGAAATATTTCCAATAACAAGGAAAAAACAGTTTTGGGGGCACATGGACGGCTCAGTTTCAGTGATCTGGAAAGTTTCCATTTATATGTGACAGCTGCTCAGCCTTTTCCCCAGAAACTACGGTAGTGACCTGGAGTCACATCTCTTTGCAAATGAATTTCTGAATTTTGTATTGGCTGAGAAAGAAAAGAGAAAGGAACCTTATGGGGAACTCCTTGGTGAGACACACAGGACCTTCACCAACCAGCTCCAAGTCTGCCTTTTGGCCTCCCTCCCTCTAGGCATCACCTGGGAGTCTGTTACAAATACAGGATGTCAGGTCTAAGACACTGAGTCAGAATCTGCACATGAACAATATTCCCAATGCACACTGAAGTGTGAGAAGTGTTGCTCAAGTCTAGACCGTGACCAGGGACCAAATACTCAGCTCTTTGTAATTTCAAGAAAAATCTGCCCTTTGAACAGGTCCTAGGTAGACCCTCCTTATATTGAACTCAGTACTGCAGTGTATAGTGCTCAGAAAAAAATCAAATTTATTTATTCATTCAATTAATATTAGGACGAATCATATTAAATTGTCATTCCATAGGTCACAGATGATTAATATTGTCCTTTGGATATGGTCTAGCTTGTTATATTTATTGAGCTCCTCTTATGTGCCAGGCACAATGCCAAGTAGTTGGGGTATAGCAGTGGGCAAAACCAGCCTTGGTTGCTGCCCTCACTGGGCTTACAGTCTACCAGGAGAGGTGGTCATTAATTTTCTTAAAATCCCACACAAACACATATAATATCACAACTGTGATAATAGCCACAAGCTAAAGTCCTTGGTGCATGGGCTGTCCTTGAGTTAATGAATTGAATTACGGGACAGGTGTTGTTCAGAAGAGCATCATGAGGAAGTGTGGCCAGAACTGCATTCTGAAGGGCGGGGATGGGGAATGAGGAGCATGCACACTAGGGGGGTGAGGGCACAGCAGGTGCCAAGGCCTCCTGTAAAGGATTTCATGAAGGGTAGATACCCCCCTGACTGCAGGACCCAGCTAGCCAGGTCTAGAGTCTCTCCTCTCTCAAATGACCTTGCCAGCAGGGCAGCTGAGTTTGCCCACAGCAGCTCCCCAGAGTTTCTGCTGCTTCTGCAGCCTCTGTGTTTAAGAAACTTGCCAGTGCCTTCTCTTTCCCATGGGAAGAGACTGGCTGGCTACTGTTTAATGGCCCTGCTAGTCCAATCTACCCACTTCACATTTGTGGGCTCTGCTTTTGATCTTTCTTATCTGAATAAACTTTGATGGCCTCAGGGAATTTGTTTCAATTCCCCAAATGCCTGTGATAATCTCTCTCGCTGCTAAGTCTTTGCACATGCTGTTCTCTCTGCCTGGAACCACATGGGCAGCCTCCCCACCTCCCTCCACTCCAAATACCTAGCTTACTCCTACTCATTGCCAGCACCCACCCAGGAAATCTTCTTTATCCCCTCCCCCTAAACTTTGATGCTGCTCCCACGACCACCTACAATAAAGCATTCATCATCCCCGTTAGCATCAAGTCTGATTTTCTCCATCAATCATCCCCAACACTCAGCTCAGGGCACAGGAGGTGTTCAATATTCACTTGTTGAATGAATAAATGAAATATTATATTTAACCTGATGCACAGTGGTGGTCCACACAGTGGGTTGGCTTACTCAACTACTATTCCCTCCTTCCTTCTTTCTTCCTTGCCTGCCTTCACTCTCATGGTGTTGGTTTTTAAACTAAATTCCATTGTCTGCCTACTTGATCATTATTTTCTTCTTTACCCTAAAAACTCACAGCAGACAGAAAAGGCTTTATGTTTCATACAAAATCCTTTATTTAAAAAATATCCATTGTCAATGAGGTATATTTTATTTCTCCTTTCTGTGCTGTAAAAAAGATTCTTACAATCTGTTGTCTTAAAAAAAAACCCTAGGGATACTAAAGCAAGTGTCTAAACTGGAGTTCAAAATATGAATCAAAGCTTTAAAAAGTTCATTAATCTAATATTTAACAGTAAAAACATCTCATACCTCGTTTGCTAGGTTTATAGCGTGGAGAGCCTTATCATAATTATCTTCACCTTCCCAATCGAAATAAACAATGGCCAGTAACCGTAGAATTTTAGCCTATAATTAAAAATATTAAAAAAAGCACACAGCTAAGGGTTAAATTGCAATACAACAGCTCATTAGCACTTACACAGTGACAGTCATCTTCTCCAATATAAGTCATCATTTCCTAAATAACCATATAGTCTTGGGATATGTCTCCTCATTATGCTACCCACACCCAATACTGTTTAAGGATTTTATAGTAATAGCTTATTCTAATTTAATATAGTTATATTAATCTAATTGTTTGCATAAGTGTTTTAGCATTAGAGTACTTTATCATCCCCACTTTACAAATAAAAGAAACTAAGGCTAAGTCACAGAAATATTTAATTTAACCATCTTACCACCTACTGCATAGGTAGCATTGTATTCAGTCTGTATAAAGAGGTAAATCCATAAGAAGATATAATCCCTTTCTCAGATTTTATAGCTTAGTAGAGAACAACCAAGTGCACCAAGGCACACACCACCATTTCAGTAGGGACAGATATACTTTCCTACAGAGAAGACTTCTCTCAACTCAGCTAAGTTTTCAAATTAATAATGCATTGCTGAATTGAGTCAGTTTTTTCCAGCCAGTTCTACATTGATAAGGGGAGTAACTATACAATATGAACATATTTAATCAAAGATTCACATTTTGAAAGAAGGAGCCCTATTTCAATAAAGAATATGCCTCTAAGTATAATAAGTATAGTAAAACAGGACAAAAATGATGTTCTAACATTTAAAATATATATGTTAAGCACATTAAGGCTCTGTGAGACTAGAGAAATGATATTTAGGGTATTATATCTTTGAGTTTATTAATTCAGTAGCTAATATGGATCAAATAAGATGTATATATGTACTTAATATCAGTATTATCATTGTGGAATGACTCTCAACTTATAAATCACGGAGCCATATCAGCCAGGGTGATATTCAGTCACATTTTGACTGATATACTATAATGGTAAGAAGCAGAAATGGATACTCAAAACATTCAATTTTGCTGTAGCACGTATTAAATTAGTTTTACATCAGATTTGTTTACATATCACATTTTGCTTGATTAAATATTAAAATTAACTCCCATACCAAGCACATTCTAGCTGTGTGGCTAGAGGAAAAGCCAGAATTTTTTAATATGCAATAATGAAAAACTGATATTTACAAAGGCAAACTTTGTTTAAGCACTTTACATATATTAACTAATGGGTACAGGAATCTACCCTACAGGTATTAGTATATCAATTTTACAGAAACTAATATAATGAGGTATTAAATGATGTGCCTAGTAGATAATCTATTCATAACTGGGGGTATAGATTATTATAATTTTATAATAATATAAACTGCATTTCTTCTAATTCTGCAATACATAATATGATCCTTACCACCATTTCGGGTTCAACAGAAACCTCCTCCATCCTCGAAATATCATAGCTTTGGCTAATCATCAAAAAAAAAAAAGAAAAGAAAAGAATATATATTCATTTTAGATTATATTTTTCAAGATTATATATTACTAAGCAGACATGGTATAATCATACTTTATTCCAATTATTTTGCACTACAAGAGATTATTAGACAATTAACCTATGAAAGTCAATTTTATAAAGCATTACTTTCTAACTACAAAAAGCCACAATTTTCTGAGGATATTTGTCAAATAAATCAATGCTATAATTATATTAGTGTTTATATATATATAAAACCAAATGAAATCTATATATTTATGAAATATACATAACCATATATATATATATATACACACGCATACTGCATTGAACTAGTTTACATATGTATACAAACTCTTAATAGGCATATTTTAAAGTTTAAGAAATAAAAATATATTTTAAAATAAAACAAATATAGCATTTCCATGAAAACAAATGCTTAGCAATATTTATTAAGCTTCACAACACCCTTGTGAAGCACTATTAGTTCCATTTTGTAGCTGAAAGAACCAATTTAGCAGTTAAACGATTTCTAATATTTCCTGGATTGATATTAAAAATGAGAATGAGGGAATGGGGAGTAGAGAAATTTGACTTTCAGTTTTCTGCTTTAATTACAAAACCATGTTATCTATGGGACACGCTGATAACCACAAGTAGTATATTAATATGAGCATCAGGATTTCAAAACCTAAAACTTAAAAAACACAAAACAAAGATCACTCACCATAAAATTGATATTCCAGGGGAGGATGTTAATAAAATTTTGTTAAAATGAATTAAATTGAAGACATTACTTTCAAATATTCCTTTTTAAAACCCTAAAAAGACCCAGAACTACCAAACTGAGTTCTCCTCTTGCTAACAAGGATACTATAATGCTGGCCTAGTCGTTGTAAATCTATCTCATAGATGCCTCTTTTGGTACATTAAACCTTCTACATCCAGTTTTTTAAAATAACCAGTGAGGATAGAACTTTTGTAATGGTGGTATATGGAGTTCTCAGACCTTCTCCCCACTGAAACAACCACTTTCCTAGGGAAATCGTTAAAATAAATGACCATTTAAAGTCTCTGGAAATTGTCTTAAAGGGTCTATAGCAAATGAAAAAATATTTATCCAAAACAACAACTAAATCTCAAAACAGTGCAAACCTGTGGTATTTGAGCTCCTGTCTCCTCTCCTATCCACACCTGCTGCTCTCCAACCCAGCTCCATGCAATAGAAGCTGCGCAGAGGAGTACTGTAGATAAGGCGGGAATTCACTGTTCCTTCAGCTCCTAGACTCCCAGGCTATAGTTTCACCTTGGGAGGGGCCACAGTGAAAGAACTGGGTCTTTCTCCACCCAATTCTGACTCTTTAGGGTAAGGGCTCTACCTCAAGTGTAACAGATTAAGAATACTAGACCCTAATTGCCTTCACCCAGGCTGGCTCAAGTGGCAGAGCTTCCATGCCTGCAGGGCATGCTAATAAGATGTGGGGCAACCATCTCCTCAGCATCCACTCAAACAGCAGGGGTGTCACTCTAGAAGCACGCCATTTCCAGCCCCCAACTCCTGTAGTGTGGCACAGGGGTTCTTCCCAGGGGGAAAGCATGCAATAAAGTGGGAAAGTTCAGCATCTCTGCATGAAGGGACTGACTTTATTTAGAACACAGGAGGAGATGTTCCTGCCTAAGGGGCATTGTCAAAAACAATAGACATCTTGGTGGTGAGTAATTAAGAGGGGACCAGCAGCTCCACCATAATAATAGCAACAAGTGAAATGAAAAATAAACACAAGTTTCACAGAGACATGGCCAACAACAATCCTGGGGTCACACTCATCCCTGAGGATACAGAACGTTATGCATACGTTATGCATAGGTGCGTGGCAAGGCAGGAGTAATCAGAGGGTGGTCTGAGGAAGACTAAAAAGCATTATTCAAGAAATACACAGATCCATCAGTGAAGAGCCAAGGGCTGGAATGGCTCAAATGGCTCCAGGAGAACCTCTTAGAATACAATAACTAAAAATTAAGGTATTCTGATCCAGGGGTGATGGTATGAACCCAAAGGAAAATGATTCATTTGATGTACCCCAAGAAGGAATTAATGTGCTGAGACGGACTCTACATGGTCAATCAAGGCCCCAAACACTGTAAATAACAAGAGCCTAGTGGCCATTAGCAAATACTAATTAGTTTCCATTAGCAAATGGCCACTAATGACAGGTTTTTGGCTATCTGTATTCCTGGAAGAACCTCAGACTGAAATCTCAGCTTCCTTCAGGCTCTATGCCTGTGTGTTTATGTCTGACTCAACTTAAACAAAAACAGAAGCTGGGCCAAAACTTTTTTCTTTGAATTTATTGGAGTGACACTGGTTCACAAGACCACACAAGTTTCGAGTGTACAACTCAACAAAACATCAACTGCACACTGCTTCATGAACCCATTGCCCAAAGCAAAGTCTCTCTCTGTCCCCTGGGTGAGAAGTTTTGCTATAAAAGAGGACCTCCCCTTTATCTCGATGGAACACAATTTAAGTTGCTACCTGAATCTGTACCTCCCAGGCAACAGCCCCTTTTTTCTCAAATAAATGCCTTTCCTTCTCTATCATAGTCTAAAATTAATGTTGGTTTACAAAGGTAAGGAAGCTGAGCTTAAAAAGCAAATCACACCCTTGGTTTTAGGTTCCACCTGTAAGGAGCTTGGAAGTCACTACTCCATTCCAACAAGTAAAAAACTGAAAAGACTAAAAAAAAAAACCCAACTCTTCTTGGATCCAGAAAAGAAGGGAAGACACAGGGTAAAGCCACTGCCCTCTAGACTGGAGAGCGAACAGGCAAACACAAGGAGTTTGACTCAAAAGCAGAAACTTGCCAAGGGAACCGGTGCTGGAACAGAAAATTGTGAACTGTGAAATTGATAGGCTGCTGAAAGCTCAATGTGGACAAGTACAGAGAGTTAAAAACTCCAGGGGAACAGAGCTATAGAGGGGAACCCACAATACTGTCAGGCGGATCTACAGGAGCTCAACCAGATTCCCACAGAAAAATATCCCCTGGGGCCTTGGCAGGAGAGATTAAAAGAAACTATGCTGAAATGACCCAGAGCACTCTTTATTTTAGCAAGGTCTGCCCTCAGGGGAAACCAGTTAACCAGATCCTCACCTCTTGAGATATTTGTCAGAGCCTAACTGACCTGGGGAAAAGAAATACTCACCCCCATCCTATTCTAGCCATTCCATACCACCTAACGGGGGGGGGGGGGGGGAAGCAGAAAAACTTGTGAAGCTAATAGTTCAAAGGCATAGGCTCACCAAAAAACTGAGAAATATTCATAGGACTACAGAACGCTTCCATTCCCCCCCAAACCTAACCACCACATTACTAAAGGCCTATTTACAACAGTTACTTTTACTCAGTGCATCATATTCACCTATAAAGAAACATTACAAGACATAACAAAAGGCACCCCCCCCCCAATTTGAAGAGACAGAGCAAGCATCAGCACCAGACATGGCAGAGATGTTGAGATTATCAAGCTGGGAATATAAAATAGCTCTAGTTAACATTATAAGGGCTCTAATGCATAAAGTAGACAGATGGGCAATGTAAACAGAGAGATGGAAATCCTAAGAAAGAACAAAAAAAAAGAAGAAGAAATGCTAGAGATTTCAAAAAAACCCACTGTAACAGACACAGGGAATGTCTCTCGTGGGCTTTTTAATAAACTGGACATGGCTAAGGAAACAATCTATGAGCTGGAGACTATGTCAACAGCATCCTTGAAAAGCAAAGAAAGCAAAGACTAAAAAAGGCGAGCAGAATAGCCAAGGACTATGGGAGAACTAACAAAAGGAATAAACTAAGTGGAATGGAAAAAGTGAGAAAGGAACAGAAGAAATACTTGAAAGAATGACTAAGAATTCCCACCAAAATGAATGTCCAATACCAAACCATATATACAAGAAACTTAGGAAACACAAAGCAGGATAAATAACAATTAACTACACCTAGGCATATCATTTTCAAATGATAGAAAATCAAAAACAAATGAAAAAATCCTGAAGCAAACCATAGGGGGAAAAACTCACCAATAAAGGTGCCAAGAATTCAGTTCAACACTCAGAAATTGTGTAAGAAGAGAGTGCAGTGAAATATTTAAAGTGTTAACAGAAAAATACCACCAACCTAAAATTCTGTACCTGGTGAGAATATTCAAAAGTAAAAAAATAAAGACTTTCTCCTGTTGAGGGAATTTGTTTCCAGTAGGCCAGCCTTACAAAAAGTTCTTTAGAGAAAAGAAAATAACACAGCTCAGAAACTCAGATATACTTCAAGTAAGCAAGAGCATAGAAGTGGTGCCCTGGCCAGGTGGCTCAGCTGGTTGGAGTGTCATCTGTACACCAAAAAGAGGTTGCAGGTTCAATTCCAGATCAGGGCACACACCTAAGTTGTGGGTGTAATCTCCAGTCAGGGCTCATATGGGAGGCAACAGACTGATATCTGTCTGTCTTTCTCTTTCTAAAATCAATAAATATATCCTCAACCTTCCTTGGGAAAATGAAAGAGCACCCCAAACAAAGCAAGCACAGAGGGGAAGAATCATAAAGAGTACAGCAGAAATAAATGAAACAGACAACTGGAAAACTACAGAGAAAATCAAGAAAACCAAAAGTTGGTGTTTTGACAGATCCAACAAATTGATGGATCTTTGGCTAGACTGACCAAGAAAAGAAATTACTAAAATCAGCAATCAAAGAGGGAACATCACTCCTAACATTTGGAAAAAGACTATTCCTGAAACACTGGAGATCTAGTGCCACAACTAGGTGCCCTCGTATAAATCTCTTAATCTCTCTAAATTTCCATTTCCGTATCTGCACATCAACAAAATGAAGTTGATGTGTTATCAACCATTTTCATACTATAAAGCAGGAGAGTCATTTTTTTTCTCAAGCAAAATCTTACAAGGACACACTACACAGAAAATTGATAAAAGCCT